TGAGATGGAAAACTGGTCCCAGGGAAGACCCGGGGTCCAGGACCAGCTTCCTTCAAGACCCTTTTCCTTCATGTACTCTTGGGTTCCCAACATGAGCCCTGGCATTCGCCGATGTGGTGCTGTCAATCTCCGCTTCCAGAGGTCCCCGCCGCTACCATGGAGATAGTTTTCGTCTCCGATATATGTTTGATGGTTGCCAGGCCAGAAGCAGGGCCCAAGAGGGCCCCGAAAACAAAGAACACCCGCCACTTGAGACCATCCAATCGTTGGAGATCTGAACGCACGATCGCTTCCGGGAACCCGCGCGCGCTGATCCGCAGGGCAGCTGCTCGCAGGCGTGCGCGGATAGGGACGCCCGCCCCGCGACCACGCGCTCGACCCTGCGTGCGGGCAGCCGCCCTGCGAGTGAAGCCGCGCGCTGCGGCAGCTGCGCCCGAGGGAGAGGCGGAGTCCTCTGAAGGGGCCCTGGGACACACAAATAAATACATACAAATAAAAAGATCCCCCTATATTTTCGTATATGTTCGGGTTTTTTCGTCTTCTCCCCCAGACTTCCTACACTTTCCCATATTCTCTGGGGAATCGACGATGAATCGTGCCTGTGTGTGTGTGTGTGTGTGTTTTTCCCCCCCCCCCCCCCCCCCCGGATCCTCCAGGGCGTCGCGGACGCAGCTCTCCAGGAGGGAGTACTGGATGACGGCGTTGGGGTCCTTCGTGACGCCCACCAGCTGGCACATCCTGCGCAGCGCGCACGCCTCGGCGACGGGGCGCGCGGCGGCGGGGCACGGGCCTCGCGCACGACGATGGCGCCACGAGCCCGCGCCGCTCCCTGCGCGTGGCGCGCCGACGCGGCGCGCCGCGCGGAGAAGAGAGAGCGCTTGCCGCGCGACCCTCCGCAGGAGGCGGGTGCGCGAACGCCCTCGCAGCTGACCCCGTTTCTTTTCAGCCGCTCAGGCAGTGGTGACCCTCCAGCAGCAGGCAGTCTGCGCTCAGCGCTCGGGGCCCCACGAGCAGCAGGGGGAACCCGAGAAGGCGGACGAAGAGGCGGAGGATCTCCCGCCACCCCTTCTGACTGACCTACCAAACCACCCCAACCCAACCCGAAGACCCGACTTTGACCCGAATTTCGGGTTGGGGGGGGGTACGGGTTCCATGTGTTTTTTCGACGTTCCCCGACCCCCCCCCCACTGGAAATCCAGGGCAAATTGAGGCCTTCGGGTTGGGTTGGGGTGGTCTGCTAGGTGGTGACCTTCTCCACCAGGAGGCACCAGCCCCGCGCGCCGCCAGCGCACTGATAGACCCGCCGGATGCGCGCTGGAAATCGCGTGGCTCGCTGGGCCTCGCCTGGGGACGTCGGGCCCGGCCCCGCCTGCCGCACTGCCTTGCCACCCGCCCTCGGGCTGCCGAGCCCGAGCCAAAGATTGGCACCCCCGCAACGGGCACGGGAACAGCGGGCACGCTCAAGAGGCCTAACCGTGTTAATATCTTGTTTAGCCGCTGTCGGCGGCGGCTCCTGCCATTCGGGCCTGCTATCGTGCCTGAATTCGGTCGGCCAGAGCTGGCATTCTAGAGGTGTGGATTGAACCGCCCAACAACAGGTGTCATCCCAAAACCGGCAGCAACCGCTGTTGGGGCAGACAACGTTAGTGGCGACACCAGCAGCAAATTCTGCGCACAATGGGCAGGACCTGCTGCCAGCCTTTGCCCCTGTTCCTGCCGTGCCAATGTCGATTGTACCGAAAAGAACCCGTGAGCAGAGACCACAACACCTTCCAACCAGCATCCGTCCCAGCATGTCTAGCTCGCTCCGCCCTCGGCCCCCTTGCGCTGTCTCCCAAGCCGACGAGCGGGGGGGGGCGAGAGCAAATTGCACGGCGGTGATCGTATTGTGGGGCGGCATGATTGCTTGGAAGGCCCAGAAAAGCGGGCAACGTCCTTTGCCCCTCAGCCTCCTGACGAATCCCGTCACCCATCCTTTTCCAAGCTCGACTCGCAGCCCGCCATTCTACTCGAAATCCCGCCCGTGTGTCAGAGAGACGCGAGCCCCCAAGGCCATGATCCCGCATGAATTACGCAAAATGCGCACAATACTCGCACTCCCAAAACCAGAATCCTTAATACATTGTAACAGATTCTCGCTTTCGAGGCCAGAACTCAATACATTACGCCAGGTTCGCGCTCCCGAAATCATTTGTTTGGCAAGTGACGGTATTTTCGAGCTCCGGAAACCACAGTTCATTGTTTGAGGTGCACCAGATCCGCGTTCGCGAAAATAGGTGTACCTCAATGAATGTGTGCATGCATATTATTGTATAAACATTTGTGTAGGTGCATAGCTGTGTAGATGTGTATGTACAATCATATATTTGTGTATATATATATATATGAGGGATGTGTATACACATATGTATATATATATGCACACATATATATATACACATATATATATATATCTATATATATATATATATCTATATATATATACGTGTGTAAACATGTAAGCTGGCCCGAGGGGCTGAATCTATCAATATCCACAACCTGCCGAAATCCCTAAAAAGCCTTGACCTTCCAGGCAGTGGTCACAGATCGGTCCCCGCCTCGGACCTCTCCTTGGGCTCCCGCCGCCGCCCCGCCGAGCCCTGGCCGCCAGAACCCTGGCCGCTGGAGCGGCCACGGGCGCGAGCGCGGTGCCGCCGGCCACATGAGCCCCGAGCGCCCCGCAGGGTACCCGCGGCGCCGCATGCCCGAGAGCGTCGGCATGCGGGGGTCGTCCCAGCCGTCCACGACGCCCTCGCCGGGAGGGGCGGAGGGCGCCGGCCGCGTACGGACTCGGCGCTTCCCGCAGCCGCGGTCAGGAAGCAACTCCTGGGAGGTTCTTGTTCGAACGGTTCAGGGCTATATTCGGTCTGTGAGCCAGATCAAAACCACCGTTAAGCTCGATTGAACCAGACTGCGAGTGGTTGCGCAGAATCAAGCGAGACTATGCAGACATAGGCCGGTTTTCGACTGCACGGATATACCAGCGCCGATGCTGAGTTCCACCTCCCAGAAATTGCATAGGCTCCGGGGGGGCATCTCCCCGAAGCCGCTGGAGGCTTCCCTGGAGGCACCACAGGTGAGGGCCTCTGGAGAGCGCCTCGCTGGGACATCCGCGGAGACCTTGGCAGGTCTCTGGCAGGCCCGCCCTGGGCCCCGGGTGGGCCACGCAGAGCCCCGCCTCTCGACTACACGCAAGAGTGAGCCTGGGCAAGAGTGACCTTTGGTGCGCGGCTTTCCGAGCGCCGCGGGGGGACTAAACACGAGCGCGCCAAACGCTGCTACCGCACAGCGTTCGGCGATCGGGGGACCCCGTTGGGCCCGCACCGAAGGTCACTCCGGCGAAGGGTCACTCTTACGTGTCGCCGAGCCTTGCCTGCTTCGGAGGACCACTGCGCAGATCCCGGGCCCGGGGTCGGCCTGGCCAGGCGCGGGGTCGGTGCAGGGCTGGCTCCCCCCCGGACCTCGTCCACGAGTCGCTTGAGCTTGCGCTTGGAGACGACGATGTTGGTCATCTCGAGCCTCGCAGGATGCCGACTGATGCTGTGTGAGCGCAGGCAGCACGCAAGTCTGTCATCTCAAGTTCTGCCACCCGGCAGGAGCCGGCTGGAGCCACAGAGCCACAGTCTGGAGACGCACGAATCGGGACGCGCGCTCACCCGAATGTGCGCGACGCGCGCGCAAGTGTGTTACGCACTCGGGCGCAACATCCACCGCCAAGCGGGCCGCGATCAGTTACTGCAAGCGTGAGCAAGCGCGTGCAACACCCTCCCAGCGGGCCTCGCGAACTCGTGCTGCCGCGGCAACGTCTCGCAGTCCAAGGCACCTGACGCCACGCATTCTGCAAACTTATCCGCATGCACACTGCCTGGCTGGGCGAATCGGTCCAGAAGCCAGGATAGGGGGAGTGAGAGACATGCTGCAGGCGAGTGGAGGGGGAGAAGACGGTAGCCTCTCCCTCTCCCTCCCACGAGCCTGGCCAACGAGAAAGAGATGGCGGGTGGTTGGACGATGAGGGAGAAGGAGACTCCCAGCGCGCAGAGGTCGGAGGACGGCAGGCGGCAGCAAGCAGCAGCACGAGAGGAGACGAGACGAGGAAGGCCGAGGACCCCCGACCTCCGAGACTCCGACACCATGATCTTGCTCACGCTGTGGGCCCCTCGAGAACTCGATGCCCCTCCCATGGGGCCGCCTTCCCTCCGCAGGTCGCTCTTCCCGCAACGGCTGAGCGGCTTATCTGTAGGGTTTCGGACGAGCGGTCTCGACATCGCGATCTTGCTCACGCTGTGAGCCCCTGGAACACTCCATCCCCCTCCCGGTGGGGCCGCCTCATCTCCGCAGGTCGCTCTTCCCGGAACGGCTTGTCCGTACGGGTTATATATATGTATACAAGACTGCAGTGGCGCTTCGCGCCATTAACCCTCGTCCTTGAGATTTGGTATGCAGGCGGAATAGCAGAAAGGTCAAGCCGACAATTTAGCGATGACTCCTTGTTGCCTTTTCCGCCATCGCCGCTATAATAATGTTCTTCGTTATCCTTCCTCCATGCTTCTTTTTCCTTATTTCGCCATACCCTGCGCAGTCTCCCCATCCTCCTCAGCTCTTTTTGCGGAGGCTCCTCCCTTGGAGAGCCTCTGGGGGCCTCACAAAAATTGTTTCAAGCGTTCTTAAGGCCTCCTGGGCGTATTCTGGGGGCTTCCTCGGGCCACCCTGCCTCCAACCGCGGTCTCCCTGAACGACCAGGTCACGATTTGGATTGGAATGCATCGGAGGGTGTCTTGGGGCCATCTTGGGCCGCCATGGGGCTCTCTGAGGGCCATCTTAGACCCGTGTTGTGCCGTTTTGGGGCTCTCTTGGACTGCCTGGAAGCCCTTTCGGATGGTTGTCAGGCGGCTTCGGACGCCCAGAAGACCGCCGTCTTGGAGCTTCGGGAAGCGAAAAGAGGAGAATTCCAACATTCACCACACACCTACATAAAATCAATGAGTTGTGCCTCTTGGGGCCTTCTTGGGAGTGCTCTTGGATGCCTCTTTGGGGCCGTCCTGGAGACCTCTTGGGCCATCTTGAGGTCACGTCGGTCACTCTTGGAGCGCTCTTGTGCTGTCTTGGGGGTCTCTGGGGCGTCTCCGATGACCCCCCTGATCGCCCTAGGTGTGCTGGGAAGGCTTGGCAAAACGCCCTGCGAGGCCCGGGGGGCCGCTGGCCCGTCCGGAGGGTCCCAAAACCTCATATCTTGGGAATCCGGTTTTTGGAGGGGGGTGACGGGTTTTCCCCCCGCCCGGGCTTGTAAAATATAGGCAGAGGAATATGTATGTATATATATATATATATATATATACATATACATGTATATATGTATATATGTATATATGTATATATGTATATATGTATATATGTATATATGTATGTATATATATGTATATCCTTGTGGGGCCACCAGGGTAGGCCGGAGGTTCGCAGTTTTCTGTGCGACTTGCAACTTCCAGTTTCCACTGTTACAATTATGCTTCTTGCTGCTTACTGTTCCTTGTTGACTTCTTGCTGCTTACTGTTCCTTGTTGATGGACCGCGCGAGGGGGGAAGGTCCAAAACGGGAATTTCTACCACGGAGAAATCGTATTGTCTGAATTGCCGGGGTGGGTAAAAATCAACACCTCTCACCCAGATCGGCGGGGTCAGGGTCCAAAAACACGAAAGATTGGACATTTCTGAAATCCGGTGGCACCCCTCACGTAGATCGGCGGGGTTAGGGTCCAAAAACACATGGGATTGCCACATTTCTCAAATTCGGTGACACCCCTCACTCAGATCGGCGGGGTCAGGGTCCAAAAACACATTGTAATTGCCACATGTCTGAAGTTTGGTGGCACCCCTCATGCAGATCGGCGGGGTCAGGGTCCAAAACCACATGGGATTTGCCACATTCCTGACATTCGGTAACACCCCATCAGGCAGATCGGAGGGGTCAGGGTCCAAAAACACGGAAGATTGGCCACATTTCCAAAATCCGGCGGCACCCCTCACGCAGATCGGCGGGGTCAGGGTCCAAAAACACACAGGATTTGCCACATTTCTGAAATTCGGTGGCACCCCTCACGCAGATCGGCGGGGTCACGGTCTAAAAACACATGGGAGTCGCCACATGTCTGAAATTTGCTGGCACCCCTCACGCAGATCCGTAGGGGTCACGGTCCAAAAACACATGGGATTCGCCACATGTCTGAAATTTGCTGGCACCCCTCACGCAGATCCGTAGTGTCAGGGTCAAAAAAACACATGGGATTTGCCACATTTCAAAAATCCGGCGGCACCCCTCACGCAGATCCGTAGGGTCAGGGTCGAAACACAAACAAGTCCCGACACTGCTTCACGGCGGCGCCCAGACCTCATAATTTAGCTCCTGCATCTCCCATTCTCCGAGAGAGGGGGCCGGCGGCAGGGGGCGAAGCCCTTACGGATCTATATTATATTGTGTTATATTATGTTATACTATATTATAGCATATTATACTTTAATATGATATTAAACTATACTATATGATATGATATTATATACCATATAATAGTATATTATACGATGTAAGAATATAGTATGTTATAATATCGCACATTATATGATAATATATTATATTAAATTCTAATGAAGTGTGCTCTACCATGTTATAGTATATTATAATATACTAGGTTATGTTGTATGGTATTATATTATCATATTATATATATATGTATGAAAATGAATAGTATACCGCCGGGTGCGGGATGCCAGACCCCAGGAAGGGGAAGAGAGGGCCAGAGCTGGCGGAGAAGGCGGAGGGGGCGAGAGTACAGCCGGACCCAGGTCAGAAGAGCACCCCTCAAGAACATGAGGCTTTCCGTCGGCCACAAAAAAAAACCGAGCATCCAAGGGTGCCCTCCCCAGGATGCACAAGAGCGTCCAAGAAGCACGAAGAGCACGAGGGAACCCTCCCCGAGAACCCTCCCCGAACCGACCTCGATCTTCTACCTCGGTCCGACTGTAGGGCGGGAGGGGAGCGGGTGAGAAGGAATTCCGCTCTAGAGGCGAGGTCCAGAGGGCAGTCAAGCTACATACCAGCTCGGGCGACCGAGGAGAACAGGTGAGGTCTTGTGCATGGTCGAAGCGCGGATAAGTACATCAGTCTCCGAACATTTAGAACGGCAGTGGATTGTACGCCAGGGTGGAAGCAGAACAAATAACTACCATATGAGCTCAGACGCAGACCTTGGAGACTCATCACGCGCTGGTTGAACCAATCGTACAGCTCGTTGTGCGCACTGAATTCGAGCGTGCACACCGAATGGGTCACGCCCTCGATGGCATCCGACAGGCCGTGCGCGAAGTCGTACGAAGGGTAGATGCACCTGGGCTCGGTTGCCAGTCGCGCCCGCAGAGTGTCGAGCGAGGCGATCAGAGGGGCCGTGCGCGACTGAGGTCCGAACACACCAGGATGGCTCTCCCCTTCTCGGCAGTTGGGAACACTTTGAAATCATGTGACGTAATCGTGCCCTCCTGCTCCTAGGAGTCAAAAACGGCACCCCGACGGCGACGACGACGACGACGACGGCGACGACGGCGACGGCGGCGACGGCGACGGCGACGACGACGACGCGATTGCAGCGCGGGTGACGCGACCAGGGACGAATGTGCGGACGGGCGCCCGGGCTCGAACGACGACGCCCGAACCAGGCACACTCTCACCGCCGCCCCAGCCTCAGGCACCCCGCAGACAGGGATCTGGCTCCGAGTCGTGGCCGCGCGCGGGGGTGCCACGCCTGATATGCTGAAGACGAAGCCAGGACGAGGATCACACCGGGTGAGGACAAAGTTGGTGAGTCTTGGGTTGACACTCGTCCTCCTCCTTCTCCACATCCACCGTTACATCCTACTCCCCACCCTCATCGCCATCATCATCAACATTATAATCGTTCTTCTCCTCAGTCCACCTCCTCCTCCCCCTCTCCTCCTCATCCTCCTCGAGAGTCTCTGAGATCTGACGGCTCTGCAGGATGTGTCGAGCGCCGCGTCCTTCTTGGAGCGTTCTGGAACGCTCCGAGAGCGTCCCGCGGCGCTCTGGAAAGGACTCATCCTCGTCCTCGCCCCGCCCGAGGACTGGAGAGGCCAACGCCTAGGTCGGGCCTGTCCCCCGACAGGGGGATTTTGGACGAAAAATAAACAATAGTCCAAACAATACCCCCAAATGCTCAAAAATGATCGAAACATCGTCGCCAGACTACTTGTTGACTATTCTTGGATATTCCCCCCCGTAGAGGGACGGGCCCGACTTCAGCCAACGCGTGCGGGGCCACGAGAGCGCGGGGAGCGCCCACCGTCCAGCTCCGCCTGAGACGTGCCGATCACGGCGACCCTGCCGGCGTGCGTGAGAGAAGGCTTTGCCGCTCGATCCGTCGCCGCCGCCGCTCCCCCCCCCAAGCGTTCCAGCCAGTGTCAGGTCGGGCCTGCTGCCCCCCATACAGTCATATTTTAAACGAGCTTGGCGACTCCGGAGCTCTCACCCCCCCCTCCGCCCCGCCCCCCCCCTCCCCCCCCCCCCCTTCCCCCCCCCCCCTCCGCCCCCCCCCCTCTCCCCCCCCCCCCCCCCCCTTCCGCCCCTCCCCCCCTCCCAAAGCAAGCTTAAGACTCTTCCCTGCTCGACTTGCCAGGGGGGCTCTGGAGACCTCTGGCGACCCCCTCTCCATCCCTGACTCCAGATCCGCCCTATTTTGGCTTTTCTTCCAACTTAAAAGTGCGTCGGAAATCCACCTAGAAGAGGCCGAACAAGTAGGGCGGAAATTGCTGCACCCAACATAAAATAGGGCGGAAATCCACAGAAACAGCAACAGAAAAGTAGGGCGGAAATTGGCATCAGCGGGGCTTGAAAAGGCGGAAATTCCAAGCCCTACTTACGAATTTCCCCAAACTAGGGCGGATCCGGAGTCAGGGATGCCTTTCTTCTCCTCCCTTCTGCTTGCCCTCCCTTCGGGGGTTGCCAGAGGTGTCCCTGGCCCAAAGTGCCCCCAACAACTTGTCACCCCAATTTTCGAGCCTCTGGGGCCCTTGGACCGGAGGCACTTCCGGCAAGACCCGATCCCTTGTCCCTCTCCCCTTCCTCCGCAACCCGCAGCGTCGCCGGCTGCGGCCGCTGCCAGCCCAACCAGTGTAGCTCGAGGCTCTAGGGGCCGCGGTGGCTGCTGGAGGGGGAGAAGGCATCGAAATAAGAGGAGCAGGTGGAATAGGACAAAAAAGGCAGATCAGGACGAGGTGGAGCAAGTAACACGAAGAGGAGCACGACGAGTGGAGAGGGGAGACACATGATGATGATACGGTGGATCAGAAGAAGGACTCGGAGACGGGGGGGGAGGACGCCACCAGAGACCTGGGCCCCATTGGTCGTCCAGCGCACCAAGCGTCTCCCGTTCGCGGGTGCGAGGCCTTCAGTATCCGATACATGATCGGGTCGCGCATGATCACGTTCTGATGGGCCATGTCTATCTTGGCCCGAAGGACAGCCTTGCCCTGGTCAATCTGGCCTCGGCGTGGTGGGTTTGGCTGGCGGGTGTACTGAAGCGGAGGAAGAGGAGGAGGAGGAGGAGGAGGAGGAGGAGGAGGAGGAGGAGGAGGAGGAGGAGGAGGAGGAAGAACAACGGCAGGGCTATAACGACATGGCGAGTGTGCCAAACCTGAAGGTTTAGCTCAAGCTCGTGGGCCATCACTGAGCGTCCCAAAACGGTGCAGTGGCAGACCGTCCAGTGACCTCGGGATCACCAAATACCTCACCTTCGCGGCCCCAGCCGCCCGAGACATCGGAGAACAACTCGAGCCCCAGAACTCGGCGGTGGACAAACCTCCCTTTAGTAAACCTCCCCTTAGTGAAAAGCGCCTAGGACCGACACCGACGGACCTGGACCTGCAAAAATGACGGCCGCGACGCCCCCTCGCGAACCGAAAACGGCCAATTCCTTAATCGACGTGTCAGGGTAGGAGGTCTGTCTACCCCCGAAGAATGTTTCGGTCACCCCGAATCCTGGCTGACTCACTACACGGTGTGGTCGCAGCACTGTTTGGGGCCCCCGGCCTCTAAACAACGTGGCGAAGACATCGAGCCCCTCCGAGAGCACGAGAGAAGGGCCCTTCGAGACTGGCGGCGTGCGTGCCGTGAGCGCCGTGCCGCATGCCGAGGGGGAGCGGGAGGCGCAACAGCAGCGCGGCATGGCAGCCCGCCGTGTGCCAAGCCTCTCTCCGCTCCAGGGCGAGCACCAGGCAAGCATGGGCCGCCAACGGAACGTGCAGCGCAAGTTAACCAGCCTCGAACGTATCCCTATCCCTAAGATGGACGAGCAAAAAGCGAGGACAATCTTAGGGATAGGCCCCCAGAAACTGAGGGAGTCCTTCAGATCGGCATCGAGGTGAGGTGATGTCAAACATAGGGATGGGGATATGTTTCAAACTGGTAGCAAGTGCTCTGAGAATGCGTGTGTGTGCGCGTGTGGAGGGAGAGGCCCCGCACACTGGCACGGGTTGTCGCGGCGGCGGGCCGAGGCCGGGCAACACCGGGAGGCAGGCGCGGCGGTCCGGGCGCGGGGGTCCTGGCCAATCGAGCCAAGCTCGACTACACGCAAGAGTGGCCCGGGGTAAGAGTTCGGCGACTACAATGGGTGCAGTTTGCGAAAGGTGCGGTTTGCCTCCTGTCATATCTGCCCCTCCCGCCCCCGGGAAACGGATGACACTGTCACCCAATGCGACCGAATCACATGACACTGTCGCTCCTTCTGGTACAGTGGAGCATACATCGAAGATGACAATGTCGCTCGAAAGCGACGACAGATATGACACTGTCTCTCACAAGGGCCCCGGAAAGGCCGCCACAGAGCAACTCGCAAACCGCACCCTGGCGTAACCGCACCGATTGTAGTCGCCGAAGAGTGGCCTTTGGTGCGCGGCTCTTGGGGCGCCGCGGGGGGACCAAACACGAGCGCGGGAGCCGCTACCATGGCATCGCGTTCTGCGATCGGGGGGACCCCATTGGGCCCGCACCAAAGGTCACTCTGGCGAAAGGTCACTCTTACGTCTAGTCGACAAGCCCCAACAGACCCATCTCAGATCCCGGGGAGCCGTCGCACCGAGGAGCGGGGCGTGAAGCACGACGCGGAGTCAGCCCGTGCCGAGCCCGACGGGGTGCAGCGGATCACGGATGGCCGAGACGGAGGAGGAGGAGGAGGAGGAGGAGGAGGAGGAGGAGGAGGAGGAGGAGGAGGAGGAGGTGGAGGATGAGGAGGAGGAGGAGACGTCTGCCAGGGGTGGGCCCGTGGACCGTCAGAAGCCTGCTGCCGCTCCTGGCCCCAGACAGGATCGCGGCGGGCGTTTGTGCCTTGTTCGGTTGTCTCGACCTCGGCGCCGAGGGGGGTCGTTTTTTTTGGCCCCGCGCCCAGGATTGGAGGCCTGGAAATCCCACTCGCCCTCTTGGCGTGAGTGGACTAACGAGCTCGTTCTGTGAAGCTCCTTCTGCCCTTTGGGGAGGGGGGGGGCCCTTCGTGGGCCCTGGAAACGACAGGGCGGTTTTTTACCTAACAGCTTGTTCTGATAGGTTTCTAGTGGTGTCAAAAGAGAGCAGCAGATGACTCCACAAGGGGGTCTGGGCGGGTGCCGGACAGGGTGCCGCAGAAGTCGTTTTAAGCCAACAGTCACACACTTCGTGCTCTTCGACCTCCCAGAACTCCACTCCCGGGCCACATTCTGAATGCCCGGAGCCAACTGTAGGCCACTTCGTGCTCTTCGACTTCCCAGAACTCCATTCCCGGGCCACATTTTGAATGCCCGGAGCCAACTGTAGGCCACTTCGTGCTCTTCGAGTTCCCAGAACTCCATTCCCGGGCCACATTTTGAATGCCCGGAGCCAACTGTAGGCCACTTCGTTGCATTCTTCGAGTTCCCAGAACTCCATTCCCGGGCCACATTTTGAATGCCCGGAGCCAACTGTAGGCCACTTCGTGCTCTTCGACTTCCCAGAACTCCATTCCCGGGCCACATTTTGAATGCCCGGAGCCAACTGTAGGCCACTTCGTGCTCTTCGAGTTCCCAGAACTCCATTCCTGGGCCACATTTTGAATGCCCGGAGCCAACTGTAGGCCACTTCGTGTTCTTCTAGTTCCCAGAACTCCATTCCTGGGCCACATTTTGAATGCTGAGGCAGGCTGATGCTGCGGCCGAGGCTGAGGCTGAGGCAGGCTGAGGCTGAGGCCGAGGCTGAAGGCAGACTGAGGCTGAGGCTGAAGCAGCTGAGGCTGAGGCTGAGGCAGGCTGAGGCTGAGGCAGGCTGATGCTGAGGCAGGCTGAGGCTGAGGCTGAGGCTGATGCAGGCTGAGGCTGAGGCAGGCTGAGGCTGAGGCCGAGGCTGAAGGCAGACTGAGGCTGAGGCTGAAGCAGGCTGAGGCTGAGGCTGAGGCAGGCTGAGGCTGAGGCAGGCTGAGGCTGAGGCTGAGGCAGGCTGAGGCTGAGGCTGTGACTGCGACTGCCGTTGCCGCTGCGACTGTCATCGCGAATGCGACTACGACTGCGAGAACAGCAGAATTCTACAACTGGATTGTCATCTGAATCTTAAGGGGAATGCTTTCAGATATGCTTCTACACATCGCTGTTAGGTTGCTTTGCCAGGATAATTTAACGGTTCCGTTTTGCCGTGTTTTACCATACCCTAAGATGGGGTTCTTGTTATTACTTGGACGCCTCCTACTCCTCCTTCTCCTCCCTCCTCCTTTTTCCCCATATCCTAAGATGGGGTTCTTGTTATTACTTGGACGCCTCCTACTCCTCCTTCTCCCTCCTCCTCTTTTCTCCTCCCCTCCTGTCGGACTTACTTATACTCCCACTTGCTCATACACAGACTTACTCATACTACTCACACCCAGACGTACTCACACACAGACTCACTCATACCCAGACTTATACACAGTATTAGTCATACTCAGACTTACTCATACCCAGACGTACACATACACAGACTTTCTCATACACAGACCTACTCATACCCAGACTTACTCATACACAGACTTACTCATACACAGACTTACTCATACTCAGCACCCCTAAGGGGAGCCGCCAGGGGTGGTTGCACGGGCTCGTTCGCGGCCATTTTGTGGGGATGTCTCAGGCGGTTTGCCTGTTTCTGGGCCCAACATCCTTCGCTTTCGGAGCAGATTTGGAGGATGTCTCGAGCGAGGCGCTCATTTCAGCACCCCTAAGGGGAGCCGCCAGGGGTGGTTGCACGGGCTCGTTCGCGGCCATTTTGTGGGGATGTCTCAGGCGGTTTGCTTGTTTCTGGGCCCAACATCATTCGCTTGGAGAGCAGATTGTTGGGATGTCTCAGGCGGGGCGCTGGTTTCAGCACCCCTAAGGGGAGCCGCCAGGGGTGGTTGCACGGGCTCGTTCGCGGCCATTTTGTGGGGATGTCTCAGGCGGTTTGCTTGTTTCTGGGCCCAACATCCTTCGCTTTCGGAGCAGATTTGGAGGATGTCTCGAGCGAGGCGCTCATTTTCACCCCCCAGGTGGGCCAGATTTTGAGGATGTCTCGATCGGTTTGCTTGTTTTGGTGGCCAGGCTCGTGGGCGCAGATTCTTCTCAGGATGCCACAGGAGGCTCCAACAGGCTCCAGGAGGCCCCAGGGGACCACATGAGGTCCCAGGAGGCATCAGGAGGCCACAGAAAGACTCAAGAGGCCACAGGATGTCCCAAGAGGCTCCAGGAGGCCCCAGGAAGCTCCAGAAGGCCTCAGGAAACCACAGGAGGCCCTAGGAGGCAACAGGAAGCGTCAGGAGGCCTCGGAAGGCAACAGGAAGCCCCGAGAGGCCCCAGGAGCAGGAGGCCTCAGAAGGCAACAGGAGTGGCTCCAATCCCATGTGTTTTACGTATGCTCCTATCGATTGGGCCTCACCTGGAGCACGATTATTTGATGTTCTACGTATGTTTCTATAGATGGTCCTTCTCCTGTGTACACAATCCTAAATGTTTTACTCATGTTCCTATGTATTGGGCCTCTCCTGGGGCACGAGTCCTTGGTGTTTTACGCGTGTTCCTATAGATTGCCCTTCTCCTGTGGCTCTAATCCGCAATGTTTTATGTACGTCTGTTGCTATAGATTGCGCCTCTCCTGGGGCACGAAACCTTCCTAGGAGGTCCCAGGAGGTCCCAAGAGGCTCCTGGAGACCCCAGGAAGCCCCAGTAGGTTTCAGGAGGCCCCAGGAGGCCCCAGGCTCATGCACAGAGACGCGCTCGTACTACTGAGGCTCATTCACACTCCAATTCATTCGCAATTAGATTGATGTCCAGACCGTCACAACTGAAGCTCGTTAATATTCGAAAGCTCTTGCGCCTAGACATTCACGGCGGACAGGTCCATGCGAGTAGATGCACATATGGGGAGCTCCACGCAGTGAATAATTGGCGGTTCCGACGCCGTTTTTGTTACCGGTTCCGTCGCCGTTTTTTGACCGGTTCCGGCTCCGATTCCATGCCTGGAACCGTTTTCTTGCCGTTTCCGGTCGCCGTTTTTTCCCCGCTTCCATGTTCAAGGGACATGTCTTTGGAAACGGTGAAAAAACGGCCCTGCCGCTTCCGGGACCCACAAAGCCCCCCCCCCCACCGCTGCGCCCCTACCCGATCCCCATACCCACTGGGCCACGGTACCCAAGCCCCACCAGCTCTCGGGCCCAGGCCACGCCAGAGGGGATAGGGATCGGTTAAACGATGCTCACAGATCGATCCGGCAGGGCCCACTAAGGGGGGACCCCCTCCCCCTCCCCTTTCCCCAGAAAGGTCTGGAGGGGATGCTTCGCGAGCGGTTGGAGGGTCCACGGTGGCCCACGGTGGCTCCAAGAGTGCCCCGGGGAGCCCAAGATATCCCAGCATGCTTCACTATAGAGGAGGAGGAGGAGGAGGAGGAGGAGGAGGAGGAGGAGGAGGAGGAGGAGGAGGAGGAGGAGGACGAGCAGGAGAGGAGGAGGAGGAGGAGGAGGAGGAGGAGGAGGAGGAGGACGAGGAGGAGGAAGAGCTTTCAAGATGCCTCCAAGAGGCCCCAAGCCTGCTCCAAGAGCCTCCCACAGATGCCCCCAAGAGGCCCACATTCGTCCAAAACCTAAGGACCGATGATGGTTGCCCACCTTTTCGCTTTCAATGGGCTCATGAGGCCCCTAGATGGCTCCAAAATGATCACCCACTGCAGTACATCACGGAACCATTAGCTCGGGATCCACGAATAATGACAAGGATGTCCGAACCACTCGATGGCCCACTGGTGATAACGAGTGGAAGTTCAAGTGACGACAGAGTCACCCTGCCGGAACGATAACTCGCAACGCAAAACTGTCTTGGAAGATGGCCCAAGAGGGACCCAAGAGGGGCCCAAGAGGGGCCCAAGACGGTCCTGGGAGCGCCCAAGATCGCCCCAAGAGCACACCAAGAGGACCCCAAGAGGCAACTGTAGGGCTCCGACGGAGGGGGGGGGGGGCCGAAATCGGCGACCCCCTCTCTTTTGATCGATGGCCCCTCCAAGAAGGCCCCGAAAGGGCTTCCAAGAGGGCCCCAAGAGAGCCCCTATAACGTCGCAATATGGCCCAAGAGGCCTCCGAGATGGCCCAAGAGGGCCCCACGATGGCTCCAAGAGGCCTCCAAGGCGCTCCCAAAACGAAAGCTTGCGAAAATCTTGAGATCGGCCCCAAACGACCCGTGTTGGGCCTCGACAGGGAGACGATATTTGAGTCTCCCTCATTCTTTGACCGCTGACTCCAAGCTGGCCCCAAGAGGGCCCTCCCCCAATGCTCCCAAGAGGGGCTCACGAGGCCCCCAAGAGGATCCCAAGAAGGGCCCAGGATACCCCTCAGAACGTTCGAAGAATGCGACAACTTGAGGGATCCACGAACCCGGTAAGAAAATGAAATCAAACTTTCTTCTGACGCGCGTGTGACAATTTCCGTTCGCTTGTACGTAACCGCTACCTCCTGCGCGTCCTGCCCCCCTCTCCTCTCTCCTCCTCCTCCTCCTCCTCCTCCTCCTCCTCCTCCTCCTCCTCCTCCTCCTCCTTCTCCTCTTCCTCCTCCTCCTCCTCCTCCTCCTCCACCTTCCTCCTCTCCTCCTCCTCCTCCTCCACCTTCCTCCTCCTCCTCTCCTCCTCCTCCTCCTCCTTCCTCCTCCCCTTTTTCTTTACCCTGCTCATCAACATCCTCCTGCCTCCACCCTCCTCCTCCTCCTCCTCCTCCTCCTCCTCCTCCTCCTCCTCCTCCTCCTCCTCCTCATTGTCCCCCTCCCGCACGGCGAGGCCTCGTACGTGTTGGGCGCCGGTTGGCTCCCGCCCCTCCGCGCACGCGAGCGTATGCTTCGCGGGTGGAGACTTCTCCGCCCCAAGTCGGGCCCCTCGCCCGCGGGCCCGCCTGGGTTTACGTCGGGCGTGTCCCCCTACAGGGGGATTTCCGACGAACGATAACAAAATATGCCAAACATGCTCCAAAATGATCCAAACATGCTCAAAACATAGTCCCCAGACTATTTTTTGACTATTTTTTGAAGATCCCCCCTGTAGAGGGACAGGCCCGACTTAAGACCAGGCCCGAAACGAGTGGCAACGCGTGCCCCGCGCGCACGCGCGCGGAGCGCATGTTGGGCCCCACCTCCGCGCGCGCGTATGTGCACGTGCCAAGAGCTCGCCGCTCCCGAGTTGGGTCCCCTCTGGGGCCCCGCGGACGCGTGAAAGCACGCTGGGTCCCGCCTCCGCGCGCGCGTATGTTCACGTGCCAAGAGCTCGCCGCTCCCGAGTGGGGTCCCTGGGGCCCCGCGGACGCGCGAAAAAACACGTGCCCCGCGCGCGCCCCGGGCAGGTTTGCACCCCCCCCTCCCCCTTCTGCGCACGCGTACTTGACGGGCGGAGAGTTCGGCACCCCGAGGTTGGGTCCCTCGACCGCGGCCCCCGTCGTGGTCCGACGCGCGCGAAGACACGTGCTCCGCGCGCACGCGCGTGGCGCATGCTTGGCCCCCCCCTCCGGTGGGACCCCGCGCGCGAGCAATTTTACCATTACTCGTGAAGAACCCGCCACTCCCAAATTGGGCCCCCCTGGTGATATACGGTATGTCCGTTTCTCAGCTTGAGTAAGATATGGCAATGGTAACAATAAACGTCACGGCATGCATATCCGAGAGCTACCCGATCAGCCCTCCTCGCCGCCGCGTCGAGCTCCCTCGAGACTCGACCCAGGCGACCTCCGGGTTGCTCCAGCGAAGCTGAAACGAAAACTCGCACGCCTCGCCACATGCAACCTCAAAGAAACATGCCTGCGTACATGAAAACACAGTCGCCTGCCACGGGCGACATCAAACGAAAGTCACGCCTGCACCTCTTCTTTGCCCTCGGGCTCGCAAGCTAGGTCAGGCTCAAGCAAGTTGCCTGCGACCGCGAGAGAGAGGTCAGACTTGCCCGTAGCCACGAAATATCCCAGCAGTCCCAGCATCTCATCCAGCTCCTTTTGCGCCAGATGCTTCGTACCGAGATCTGCCATATTGACTTTACCGAGCGTCGTGGAAAGGATGACTCGACGTTCGGTTACATGACGCTGGAGCCAGAAAGTCTTTGTCTCGATGTGTCGGATGCGCCCTGCCCCTCGGCGGTGCGCGATCCCACTGGCGGCCGTGGCGTCGCCAGCCAAACATAGCTCCAGCTCGTATCCCATGTCGCGCGCCAACGAGACCAGGCCCATCCCGCAGGACGCCGTGTGCACTAGAGCGTGCCACTCGGCCTCACCGGAGCTGAGAGCCTCACTGCTTTGGGTCGCACTGAAGACCCGAATCATGTGACCTCCCAGCTGGAAGACTCCGCAGCTCGTACTCTTCCTGGTCTCTAGGCAGCCGGCGAAGTCGCTGTCCGAGAAGCCCTTGAGCACACCTGACCATCGCTGGCGTCGGAATCTCTGAACCAGCCTCGGACGGCCCAGGAGATACCTGGCAATCCTCTTGACTAGCTCCATGCCGTGCTCACACGGCTCGTGCATGTACTTCGCTGCTTCCACGACTGCGTACTTGATGTCCGGGCGGTCCTCGCTGAGATAGCTGGCTCGCATGACCAGGCTGCGGTAGCGAGTCGCCTCCTCGCCCTCCAGGACCCTGCCGCGGTCCGCGCTCTTGGCCTTTACTCCTGGCGTCGAGAGGGCCTTCGACCCGCGCCAGAGGTTCAGCTGCTGCATCATGATGAGCGCGTGGCGGGAGTCAGCCTCGAGCTCCACATCACCTCTCCAGGTCCAGCGGAAGACGCGGTTCAGACAGACCACCTCCTGAACATCACCAGCACTCTTGTTGGGTCCCAACATGCCCTCGAACTTGACCCACATGTACTTCTGCAGCTCGCGGTAGGAATCCAGGCTGTCGGTGCGGGAGCCCTTCAGCACGAAGTTGTCGCCGTAGACGCAGGCCACGAGCTCGCCGTCGCCTCTGCGGTATATGCAGGGACATCACACGCCACAGGAGAAGCCCATCTTGCCCTCCAGCGTCTCACGGACCAACAGCTCGAAGGTCTGGCCCGCGTCGCGGCAACCGTAGAGGCACCTGACCAGCAGCCCACACACGCTGGGGTCAGCTGAGCGAGGATCCTCCGCAGGAAGCTTCACCCACAGCTTCCGCTTCATCTCGCAGTGCGGGTGAGCTCTAGTGATGTCCAGGAACATGAGGACGTGCTGGTCCTCCTCGGCGTTCCTGGGCGAGCAGCAGAAGGAAATCAGCATCCTGAGAGCCTCATACGGGGGTGTCGCACTGAACGTCTGCGAAGGGCCCCCCAGGTCCATGCTCGTGCGGCAGCGTGTCTCCGCCACGCACAGTCTGCAGCGGACGTTGGGCTTGCGGTCGTCACCCTTGTTGACGTCCACCCAGATTATGGGCACCGGGTCGCGCCCGGTCTCCTCGCGGCAGCGCTGCTTGGTGTCGTACACGTAGGCGCCGAGGCCGCGGAGAAACTCCATCTCCTCCTTGCGGCCAGCTGCCACGAGCTCGGGGTCCAGAACGGCCCCGCTGATGTTGTCGACGATCTCCGTGTAGTACTCGGGGTAGGCGTCCCAGATCGGTGGCTCGTCCAAGTGCGGCCCGGCCTCCAGCGCACCCAGCTGGCCGCGAGCAATCGCCTCACGACGCAGCCCACGCAGCACCGCAGCCACAAGCTTCGGTGGGTGCCGCTCGATGATGCGCATGCCACGCCGACCTAAGCCGACCGTCTGGCAATGTCTAGCACACCCAGGACACCGACGCGTCAGCTCTCGGGCTATCTCGGCGGAGTTGGTCAACCATCCCGTGGGCTTCTTGACCAGCGCTGGGCCGACAGCATCGGTGCACCACAACCCATACGCACATTGATCGCACTCTACGTAGTGTACTCCTGGCATCTCGGCGATCTCTCGGATCACCCAGAGACGCCAACTCCTCGATGATGCTGGCTGCTCGTGCAAGAAGAGGCGGCCAGCCTTGATCTGCTCTTTGTAGCACTCGGCACAGAAGACCAGGTGGACAACGCCTCGCTCCATGATGGCGTTGACGTCCACACCCTGGATGACGTTGAGGGCCTGCAGGTTCGACCACGGCGCGCACATCGGGCTGCCAGTGATCAGCAGTGGCTGCTCCAGCTCGATGGTGGCCTGCGCCCGCTGCCTGTCGCCCTCCTGGCTGAAGTCGTAGCCGGTCCTGATGTCGTGGGCTGTGCCAGGCTCGAGGTCGAACGCACTCGACCGAGATGTGAAACGTCCTGGTCCGCGCAGCTCGCTGACGGCCACCCTCCAGTCGCCGAAAGCCGCCAGCAGCGCGCAGAGCTCCAGGGAGTCCGCGCCCATGGCGTCCCCAGCTCCAGACGGCGCCTGGAGGAGCCCGCTCGGCCAAGCAGCCTGCGCCTGAGGCGTGGCTGGCGCCTGCGCGGGCGTCCTCGGCTGCTCGAAGCTGATCGCTGGCGCGAGGGGTGCTGGACCGCCTGGCGCCGCGAGGCGGCGCCTCGATGCCTGAGGCAACTCCGCGGGCGAGCCTCGACGCTCAGCAGCTCGTCGGCCAGGTCGCTCGATCTCCATCGGCGCCTCAGCCGGGCTGGCTGCCTGAGGCAGTGCCCCAGAGCTCGCGCCCTCCTGGCGCGCAGGCGCCCTGTCGGCAGCCTCCAGCTGGCGAGCCGCCGCTCCGAAGACTCGGGGGGCAAGCTCCGGGTCGTTCGCCATGGCCTGCTGGATGCGCTCACGGCGCTCCGAGCTGTGGGCCTTGGCTGGCGCGTTGGTGCGGGCCGCGAGGCAGCCCGGGCACCCGTCTGTGAAACCGTACTTGGCCAGCTCCACGTTCCTGCGAATGTATACGTTCCGAGGCTCAGCTGGAACCTGCTCTGGCACAACCCTCGGCTGCTGTGCAGCGGGGTCGACGGGGGGTTCGTCAATGGCCGTCGGGATGCGAGCGTTCTCTGGCTTGTCCGGGGTCGGCGTCCATGGCGCGCCCCTGATCGAAAGCAACAGGGCTGCATCAGTCCGCTGACTCGGCGGCCTCCTCCTGATAGACCGCGCGCGTGCGACCCTGCCGTCGTAGCCGACGAGCATCTCGCTCGACTTCTCGATGACGCCCAGGAAGACTCCAATCTTCCAGCGCTCCTCGAACTTGGTGTCGCGCCTCGCACTCGGGAGGAACGCGATGATCTCACCGAAAGGCGGCAGCACCTTGCGGAAGGCCTTGCCCTTGTGCCTCTCGCGCGGCGTCCGCCCATCGGCGCCGATCTTGCCACGATTGATGCACCCCGCAGCGTGAGCAACCAGCCAAGTCAACGCTGGATAGTCGTTGGGGATGTCAGCGCCGTGCAGCAGGGACAGGGCGACTCGCAGAGACCGTGACGCGCCCTTGACCTCCCTCACTGCTACCTCTGCCAGGTCGTTGCTGGCGCCGTCGTAGGCCGGCGCCTCCTCGGGCACGGCCTCGAACTTCAGATTCCTGAGGCGGATCGTCGCCTCTCGCTTGAGCGTCACCAAGGCACCCTCACCATCGGACTTGTAGATGATCTTCGGGTGGCCGGTCGCCTCCGCCTGGCAGAAGGCGCGGGCCACATTGTACTCATGCTGCATGCCCTTGGACGGGAGGACGTCGGCGCTGACCCGCGAGGTGGCTGAGTCGATGCCGACGAGGATGGGGGGCACGGACTGGCCCGACTCCACCTCCTCCCGCTTCACGAGGTATCCGTAGTCAACTGCAAACGTAGGCGTGGCATGCGCTCTCCCAGGAGCGCCCGCTGGGTGTCCATCGGTGCGGCCACGCCCAGCCAAGCAGCAGTAGCACCAGTCTCTGAAGGGTACGTGACCTGCTGCTTCGCGTTGCTCGATCTCAGCCTGGGTAAGCTCCTTCGGCCCCCGTCGTGCTCACACTGGAGCGGGCTGAGATTCGTGGCGCTCCTCGGCGTCACCCTCGAGCTCGATTGTACTTCCAACTCCGTCGCCCCCTGCCACGGCAGCTCCAACTGGCGGGGCAGGATCACCTGCGGCTGCGCCGAGGTGACTCTCGATGGTCGCAACTTGTCCATCATCAACTCCATGAGGTACCACTCCTGTCTCAAAAGCGACGCCATGCAGCGCAGGAGGTCCCACTGCTGGCGCCATCATGGCCGGTCTTGCGGCAGCGCCCGCCGCCCGAAAGGACACAAGCGCTTCTTATCCTGCGGCTTGCTGCAGCCACGGCAACCCTCGACCGAGCAGAGCGGCAGCTCCCTCACGAGGGCCTGGGACATCTGGCTCACCTCCTTCGCTGGCATGATGCTCACGTCCAGGTCCCAGGTGCGCTGCCTCCGCGTGAAGCGGGCGGTCTTGCCACTCTCGACGTGGACAGCGTGGCTGATGTCGTTGCCGTGCTGGTCCTGCTCGAAGACCACGCGGTGGCCGCTCTTCACGAGGTCGAAGACCGAGAACAGCGGCCGCCTGACGCCCGTGACACGGGCCCTGATACTACGCAGCGCACCACCGGTCTGCACCATGAGCTTGCGCTGGCCCTCGTCTGGGATCGGCTCACCCGTCGCACTGAGGTACTGCGCTCCCGACGGCCTCCCCGTGATCGGGTAGTCGGTCCCCAGCGCGCGCGAGATCGCCGTGACCGCCGCGCCTGAGTCGATCCCGAAGCGCACCGTCTCGCAGCTCGAGGACATGGCCGACAGGTCGAGCGCCGCCAGGAAGAGGCCACCCAAGCCCTCAGGAGGCTCAGGCTCGCCCATCTCGCCCAGGGCGCCAGACTTCTTGGCGACCGGGCAGTCCTTGGCCAGATGCGCTGTCGAACCACAAGTCCAGCATGGCTTCGGCTTCGGTCCGTCACCACCCTTGGCTTCACCCTTGCCTTTGTCACGACCTCGACCTCCACCGCCCTTCGGCGGTGCCTTGCCTGACGCAGCCGTCGCATTCCACCGGCAGTCTCGCTTCCAGTGACCTGTCTTGCCACAGATCGGGCACGGCTTGGTCGGCAGGTCGTCGGCGCCCTTGCCTTTGCCGGCCTTGCCGTTCCTGCCCTTGCCGTTGCCGCCCTTGCTTTTCTTGCCACCCTTGAAGCCGAGAGCTGCCAGCTGTCGCGCCAGGGAGTCGATGTCCATCGGGGTCGGGCCTGTGCCAGCACTCGCCGTCGTCGCAATCTGGGCCCGCCTGAGGTTCTCGACCTCGGCCTTCACGAGCTCCCAGGTGTTCAGCCGCTGGCGTTTGAGGAGCAGGTGGTGGCGCAGCGGGCCCTCCTTGAGCGAGCGGACCAGGATGCCTATCTTGATCTCATCGGGAAACTCTGCACCCACAGCCTGCTCGTAGCGCTTGACATTCCTGTCGAACGCAATCAGCTTCGAGGGGACGTCACCCTCGAAGTCCCACGAGAGCAGCTCCTGAAGGAACCCTGCTGCCCGGGTGCGGCTCTGAGGCTCGTGGAAGGTGACCAGGGTCCTCCACGCCTCCAGCCCCATCGTTCACTCCTGCACTGGCATTGCGGTCTAACGGGAGCCCTTTGTTCAGCATGACCAACATATAGTAGAGCTGGCTGCTGAGGCGCACCTGGTCGTCGGGCAGCGTCGCGTTCAGCACTGGCGTGTCGGCATGCTCAGCCCTGTCCATGGCATCCTTCAGGGCTGGCTCGCACGCGCTGGCACAGGCTCGGAAAATCGTACTCCAGTCACGCCAGGTCCCAGGCTCGCCGTTGAAGTCACTAGGCTTGCCGAGGACCCGTGTGTCAATCAATCTGTTTGTCTCCTGCGGCGGGCCACCAGGCTGGGCTGCTCGCTGCTGCTGCTCTTGACCTCGGGCCTCCTGAGCCATAGCCTCTGCCACCTGCACTCTGGCCTCGGCGGACTCCGCCTGGGCTGCCAGCCGCTGGATGACTTGCTGCTGCTGCTGCTGCGCCTGGGCGAGTGCCTGCTCGAGCTGCGCGAACCTGGCCTCGTCCATATTCGTCGTTGACCTCGCGGCCGCGAGCCTTGATGGCCTTGAGAGCCTCGCCCTCGCAGTGCCGCCTGGTACGGCGCAGCGCCAGTCGCAGCAGGTCCGTCACGATGATCGCCCAGCTCTCGAGCGGCGATCCGAGGACTAGCTTCCAACCAGTCTCGTCTGCGGCCTCTGTGGCCGCGCTGGCGTCCGTCACAGACGCTGCGGAGAAATGCGCAGCGGTATCGCAGGCAGGCCGACCAACCTTGCTCCGCGCTACCATGATATACGGTATGTCCGTTTCTCAGCTTGAGTAATATATGGCAATGGTAACCATAAGCGTCACGGCATGCATATCCGAGAGCTACCCGATCACCTGGGGAAGGCCTTCGAACCCTCAAGCTCACGGGAACGGAACTCTCTCAAAATTCTGCGAGGCCTTGAATATTCCAGGGGCCCTCTGTGGGACCCTCGAACCCTCCAGAAACTTTCTGAAAAGGCTCCCAAAACCCTCCCAAACCCTCCAGGGGCACCCGCGGACATGGGAAAACACGTGCCCCGCGCGCGCCCGCCAGGCATGCTTGCCCCCCACCCTCCGCGCACGTGCGTTTAGCGAGTGACGAATTCTCCGCCTACAAATTGGCACTCTCGCTTGCGGCCCCGTTGCGGCCCGAAACAAGGGAAAACACGTGCCGAACGCACGCGTGCCGAGACTCCTGTTGGAGACCCCCCTCCGCACACGTACGCATGTGCTCAATTCCAGCGCCGCTGCTCCACATCCTTCTGGTGGAGGGCCTTTGGCCCACAAACTCAACAGAGAACGAAGTCGGCCAGGAAACAAAGTCGTCATCATCATCATCATCATCATCATCATCAGCAGCAGCAGCAGCAACATCATCATCAACATCATCATCAACATCATCCTGATCGCTGGGCCGGAGCCCTTACAGGGAACAAAGTCGGCCAGCGTGCGTGTGTTTTTGTCCGTGCGCCGAGGGTCTGCGGCGGCAAGGCACCACGTGGAGCTCCCGGGCACGGCGCCGAAGAATTGGGGCCCCTGCTGCCTCTTCGGGGTCTCGCTGCAGGCCTTCCCCGTGCTCACCACCCCTCCTCCGCCTCGTCCTTGATCTCCTCCTCCTCCTCCTCCTCCTCCTCCTCCTCCTCCTCCTCCTCCTCCTCCTCCTCCTCATGTTTCGCCTCCTCGTATTGCTTTCTCCTCCTCCTCCTCCTCGTGCTCTTGCTCACCATTGTTCATTATTTGTCTCGATTCCTCCCCCTCCTCCGCCTTCTCCTCCCCCATCTTCTCCTGCATCCCCTCTCCCGCCACTGCCCCCGCCGCCCTCACGTTCTGTCCTCCAGCGACGACGACGACGACGACGACGACGACGACCCACGGAGACCACGACGACGGCGATGACCCACAAGCGGCCCCCCTGCGGACTCGGCCTGCGCGCATTTTGCGCAAGAGGTCCAGGCTCTCGTCCGCCGAGCGGGCACGGTACGGGCTGTCCTTCCCTGGGCTGGTCAGCGATCCTCGCAGAGGAGCGCAGGAAGGCGAGGGACACCATTTGCCAGCGCGCATCCAACCAGGAAGCTGGCACACGCGGCTGGACCTCCGTGCAGGTCCTGCCAGAGTCCCTGGCCATGCGACGGCCCAGCGCTGGAAGTGCACGCACGCATCCAGCCCTCGCCCAGTCCAGTCACGCCTTGTGCCTCAAACTGCCCAGTGCACGACCCCCCCCCCGCCCAGGAAGATGACGGGAGGGGGGCAGGGGACCACGAGGGGGAGTGGCGAGGCAGGGGCGCCTCTCGCCCCCCCCCCCCGCGTCCCATCCCTCCCCCCCCTTCCCTGGTCTTGAGGGCCCTGCCCTTGAGGGCAACAGCAGAGAGAGGATCGGGCGAAGCCCTGGGCCTCCGAAAATCCCACCAGCCCTCTGGGCGTGACTGGTTCAGAGCGCTTCCTCTTCCAGCCCCCCCCCTAATTACCCCCTAATTACCCCTCCCCCTAATTACCCCTCCCCCTAATTACCCCTAATTACCCCTCCCCCTAATTACCCCTTATTGCCCCTCCCCCTAGGGGAGGTGTAATTAGGAGGAGGGGTCTGCCCCTCCCCTTAATTACCCCATCCCCAAGACCTGGAGGCGCGGGGTCGCGAGAGGTGCAGGTCATTGTTTGTCCTCGGCGAGGAAGCCAGCATCACTGCTTTTTGTTGCCGAGGTGCTGGCCACATGTTCGCCTCCCGGGGGGGTGCCCCAAGACGGCCCCAAGAGGTGCCCAGGAGGCCCCCAGGAGGCCCCCAGGAAGCCCCCAATGTGCCCCCAAGAAGCTCCCAAGAGGCCCCCAGAGGCGCTCCAGAGGCACCCAAGACACCCCAAGAGGCCTCGGCGAGGAGGCCAAACTCAATAATTGTACGAAGGTTTTGGTCACAGTTTGGCATCAGGGGGGGGACGCTAAGTAAGGAGCCCCCCTCCTTTGATCGATCTCCTCCAAGATGGCCCCAAGATGGCCCCGGAGGCTCCCAAGGGTGCCCCAAGACGGCCCCAAGAGGTGCCCAGGAGGCCCCCAGGAGGCCCCCAGGAAGCCCCCAATGTGCCTCCAAGAAGCTCCCAAGAGGCCCCCCAAGAGGCCCCCAGAGGCGCTCCAGAGGCACCCAAGACACCCCAAGAGGCCTCGGGGAGGAGGCCAAACTCAATAATTGTACGAAGGTTTTGGTCACAGTTTGGCATCGGGGGGGAGACGCTAAGTAAGGAGCCCCCCTCCTTTGATCTATCTCCTCCAAGATGGCCCCAAGATGGCCCCAGAGGCTCCCAAGGGTGCCCCAAGACGGCCCCAAGAGGTGCCCAGGAGGCCCCCAGGAGGCCCCCAGGAAGCCCCCAATGTGCCTCCAAGAAGCTCCCAAGAGGCCCCCCAAGAGGCCCCCAGAGGCGCTCCAGAGGCACCCAAGACACCCCAAGAGGCCTCGGCGAGGAGGCCAAACTTAATAATTGTACGAAGGTTTTGGTCACAGTTCGGCATCCGGGGGGGGGACGCTAATTAAGGAGCCCCCCTCCTTTGATCGATCTCCTCCAAGATGGCCCCAAGATGGCCCCAGAGGCTCCCAAGGGTGCCCCAAGACGGCCCCAAGAGGTGCCCAGGAGGCCCCCAGGAGGCTCCCAGGAAGCCCCCAATGTGCCTCCAAGAAGCTCCCAAGAGGGTCCCCAAGAGGCCCCCAGAGGCGCTCCAGAGGCACCCAAGACACCCCTAGAGGCCTCGGCGAGAAGGCCAAACTCAATAATTGTACTAAGGTTTTTGCCACAGTTCGGCATCGGGGGGGGGACGCTGATCAAGGAGCCCCCCTCCTTTGATCAATCTCCTCCAAAATGGCCCCGGAGGCTCCCAAGGGTGTCCCCAAGAGGTGCCCAGGAGGCTTTAAGAGGCCCCCAGGAGGCCTCAAAGGTGCCCCCAATAAGCTCTCAAGAGAACCCCAAGAGACCCCCGAGGACCCCCAGAAGCACCCCAACAGGCCTCGGCGAGGAGGCCAAAATTAATAATTCATTGTACTCAGGTTTTGGCCACACTTTGGCATCCTGGGGGGAACGCAAATAAAGGAACCCCCTCCTTTGATCGATCTCTTCCAGGATGTCCCCAAGCTGCTTGTAAGAATAACGAAAGACGGCCCCAAGAGGTGCTCACGAGGACTTAGGAGGCCCCCAAGATGCTCCCGAGATACCCCCAAGAGGCTCCCAAGAGACCCACTACGAGGCCCCAACAGGCCCCAATAAGCCACCCTGCCAGGGGCATCCAGGACGCCTCACGAGGCCCCCGGGACTGCCAAGAGACTCCCAAGACGCCCCAAAATAACTCCAAGAAGCTCTCGGAAGAAATCCGAAGAGACTCCGAGAGTCATCCAAGAGGCCTCTGGCCTTTCTGATCGTCGTCGTCCTGGTCCTCCTCTTTCTCATCCGCATGTTCCTCCTCCTTCCTCCTTCCCCCTCCTCCTCTCCCTCCTCCTCATCCTCCTCCTCCTCCTTCTCCTCCTCCCCCTCCTCCGCTTTCTCCTCCATCCTCCCCCTCTTGGGGTACGACGTCTTAACCAGCCCTTTATTTCACTGCACGCTCCTTCACATCCCTGATCAGGGCAACTGGTCTGGGCATCTTGTCTGGATGAACTGGTTGGGCTACGCGGCGCGTTTAGAAGATGTGTCCCTTTTCTGTGCAGCTTCCTTACTTGTCGCCAACTCGCAAAACTGGGCCACATTCTAGGAATACGTCAAGAAGAAGGCAACAACGGACAGGGGCAACTCAAGATCTCTAAGCGTGGCAGTCTGGAAGATGCATCGGAAACCACGGCCGATCTAGACGATTAGACATGCTTTGAGAGAGTTCAGGAACCGTCGGGACCTATTCTGCGAGGCCTTCCTGGCATTTCCTCTCTTCCCCAGCCCTGCTCTCCCCCTCCCTCCTCCCGCGCCCTCGGAGTCCGATTCCGCTGTGTTTGAGCCTGGTCCCAAGCGACGACTCTTGGCGACGACTCTTGCTCTGGCGCCGATGGATTCTAGGCACAGCGAGGACTGCAGGATGCAGCGTATAGATTCTCGGAGGGCTAGAGGTTGACACCAACACCAACATCGGCGGTGTGCCTTCACCGAGAGAAGAGACTCCCGATCTCGGCAATGGTGGTAATACTCGGGCCTTGTAACTGGTCGAACGATCACCGCCAACACCAACACCTAGGATCATCTTACCCCTGTGGAGGCACGCCCCTGTGTTGGTGTTCGTGCCCATTTCCAGGCGGCCTCCAATATTGGAATAACACGGGGGGGTCCTGAGGGAAGCGGGCCCTGGCACCATCTGGCCTTCCTCAAAAGCGGGAGTCTTGCCCCGAACAATGTTGGGTGACAGCCCTGGTCCCGGGGGGCCGGGACGGGCCCCAAGAACCGGGAAGAAAACGCAGCGTAAACACACAGACACAGACACAGACACAGACACAGACACAAACACAAACACAACCAGACACGGACACAGTCACAGACGCAGACACGGACACGGACACAGACACAGACATAGACGCAGACACAGACACACAGACACAGGCACAGGCACAGGCATAGGCACAGACACAGACACAAACATACACACACACATTAACACATTACCACATTACCACATTAACACATCAACACACACACACACGCAAACACAAACGCGAATACAAACGCAAACACGAGCACAAACAAAACTGCACAAACACACACATATATGTATGTATATATGTATGCATGTATTCGCAACCCCGCGACATCGGATCCGGAATGGGCCCCCAGCCCCTGGCGCGCGGAGCGCGCCAGAGGCGGCGCCAGGGGCGTCGCTAGGAGGTCCCAGCGCCGATCCAAGAGAATCTGAGCGGAGCTCCAAAACTGTCTTTCGATGCTGTCTTTGGAGTAGGGGAGTGTCTACATAAATGATTGACCCCCAAATTGATATCTTCTTTTCGCAGAATCATACGTGTACTTTTCGTAGATCGACGAACATTCGACAAATTCCTCATGGAGTCGAGAAGCGAATCAAGTGCGGGGTAAATCAATTATGTAGTCGATCCCCTACTCAAGTCTTGTCGTATACTTGAGCATGGACCCACCGACCCGGCATTCCTAGTCCTACCACAAAATGTTCTCCGAAACAAAAAATGTTCTAATATCAAAAACAATGTTCTTAGAACATACACCCGATGTGTTCCAACAAGACAGTTCCGGCCAGAAATGTTCTAAGAACATTTCGTGGACACCACACACGGTTCTTAGAGCATTGTTTGGTAGGGCTATAGGCGACCCAGGACGCTTCGCCACTGCTCGATATACAGCTCGCGAGGCTGAGAGTCGCGAAGCACCTCACGACCCTCTTCCCGTGCATGGGCGCTCCTCCTCACGGCGCATGGCGGAGGAGCAAATGCGCGGAGGCTGCGCAAGGACCGACCGTCCCAGCATTCATATTGGCCTACCACGACTTGGTCTTAGAAGAAGAATGTTTGTTACCCCCTGGGCCATAACGCGCGTTATGCCAACTGCCTTGCCCCCCCCTCCCCCCTCCCTCCCCATATCGTAACGCTCCCGGCCTCAATGCGTCCCTGGCACTGCCGCAGTGCGTCCGGCACCACAGTCTGGAGGGGCGCGCTACGTAATGCCCCCCACTTCCCCCCCCCCCATAACGCCCATTATGGCCGCATCATGTTTTAATTGCCAAAACACTGTTCTTGGAACGTCAAGTGGATGCGTTAAAACAAGACGGTCTCAACCAGACATGTTCTGAGAACACATCGTGCAAACCAAAACATGCTCTTGGAACATTCTTTGGTGGGCCCGTAGGCAAGTCAGGACGCTGCACCACTGCTTGAGGAGGGCCACGAGAACTGGAGCAACGAAATTTGGCGTGGGTGAAACTGGTCCTGAAGGAAGCGGGTCCTGGAACCTGGGGCCTTCCCCCAAGACCCACTCCTCATCCTGAGCCGTTCTCTGACGGCCCGGGGGCCCGTGGAGAGGCCCGGGAAGCCAAAAACGGCGAAAAACCGCAGCACCCGTCTCCCTCAGGACCCATTTCTTTGGAGTCCCGAAAGGGTGCGGTGACAGACCGTGCGGTGACCTCGAAACCACCCAAGACCTCACCGCACGGTCCGCCACCGCAAGGTCTTGGGACCCTGGAGGCCCCCGTCGCCCGAGACGTCCTCGGAGAGGGCCTCGAGTCCCAAAACCGTGCGGTGACCCCGAATCCCCACCGACTCGCCTCACGGTGCGGTCACCACCCCAGTTGGGGGCCCCCGAAATTATCCTCTATGGCGAGACACGGAGCCGGACCGACACCGCCAGGCCTCCCGCCGGCAGGCGCCGCGCCCGCGCCCATGGCGGGCGTGGCCTCGGAGTCTGGCCGGGGGGTCGCCGTCCGCAGCCCGGGCGCAGCCACCCACGGCCTACCCGTGGCATCCACTGCGAGGCGGGGATTTATCCATATCCGCCGCCTGGGAACCGACGTCCTGGTGCCCCGGCGGGCGGTGGATATGGATATATGTATTTCGGCCCCCGGGGGCCCGAATATGTCCAGATCCACCGCCTGCCGAGGCTCCGAAAACTGACCCTCCAGGCAGTGGTCACGTATAAATTCCCGCCTCGCATCCACAGTTCTGTGGCAGTTCATGGGAGTCTCTTATTTGGCTGCGAGCGAGGGGGGAATCGAGAAGGGGCGGGCCTTCTCAGACGGCTCCGAAGTCCCACGGCCTTCTGAGAAGTTTTCTAAGCCCTCCCCGAAGACACGAAAAACTCCTCGGAAAGCGCAAGGGCTTCTGAGAAGCCCCGCCGCCTTCCGAGAAGGCCTTCTCCTCCTCACGCCCCGCCCTCGCTCCCCACCGACTTATACCATATGCCATATTGTTGACTCTTGCGAATCGACGCCAATGGACGCAGAGTCGATACCAAGTCGGCGCGGCCTCATCGATTACCAGACGCCAATCGACGCCAGTGCGCTCTAAAGACGGAGTTGCGAGGGCGCACAAGGCTCTTATGATTTGCCACCGGACCATAAACCTGGCGGCCCCCGTGAAGCTGGGTGGTGCCCGGTCAGCCTGTCGCTCGCGACGGCTCGACGGCACCGCGCGCGGAGTGCTTTATGTTCTGAGCGTGTCTTGGGAAGGCAACTGCTGGGAGGTCTTCATCAAGACGATGAAAGGATACGTCGCAGGGACGATTGAGGGACCACTGGGCTGCATCAGTCCAGATTGAGCTTCGGATTAAGCAGGATTGCGCAAGATTAAGCGGACTTCGACGGGACTGTGCCGGATCGGGCCAGTGATCGACCACGGATATACCAGCGGCGATGTCGAGTCTGAGCTTGCAGGGGTTACATCCCTACCTCCTTCTCCTCCTGACACACGATTGCGCGATTAGCAGGTCCGCCTCCCGTTCTAAACTCGACCGCCATGCGGACACCACATCGCTGCGAACAAAAGATCTCCCGGCAACCCCGTGAATTGTCCTCGATACTCCGATATCTCCTCCGCCGACAATTCGTCGATGTACGCCCATCCCTTCTCGACGAACGTCTCGGCCCACGCGTACAGCTTGTCGAAATCAGCCGGCCCCAACTCGATGGAGGCATATGCAAGTTCGCGCACCATCAACACATCGACACGCACTCTGCTAGGAGTTCAGACAGAATTTCCAACGATTGCACGGGTGGAGGCGAGGTTGTTTCAAAGTGTGGCTCTCTTTTTAGCGCGGCGCGCATTCGGTTACACAATCCACAAGAACTGCAGGAATGGGGGGCGGTACTGATTCAGTTCAATTGGTTTGGGGAAATAAGGGGACTTGTAACACAAATGAGCAAAACAACAGCTACACTGATGAATGACGTTTTCCCCCCAAACTGGGGATCTCGTTGTAGAGCAATCAAACGCTAATCCACGAAGCACAAACGTGTGCACGAACTACATCTGCGAAGCCTGTACGGACTTAAAATGTCGCTGAATGGCATGTGCGGTACTAGGGTAGGCAAGTAAGCTGCCGCAAGTGCGGGGCGTACAACATCATATCGTCGGCGCAACATTCGTTTGTGATCCGTGCCTGCAGTGCGAAGCTAAACTAGTTCTGACTTTTCATGCGGATACATGCGGGTCTCACCTGTCTGAAAACGTAGGCATCCCTGTCTGGCGCCCCGCTCGATGCTGCACGCTCTGCTTTTGGCCTCCGCTTGGACCGCCGACAACTGACATTGATACGAACCTGTCGCGTAGCATTGCTGTTGTGAGTATGTGGGCTTCCGTGCAGTAGCCCTTGCGGAAGCATGCTTGGCCTGCGCATTGCTGGTAGTCAATCAGAGAGCTCAGCCACTGGCCCAGGAGGTGAGACATCGGCTTGTGCAGCAACGGGGTGAAATCAATTTACACGTCCTGTACTTCCAGACTTGTGGGTTCGAGGTCTGCGTAGGCTTGATTATGTCACTGTCAAGTCGTAGTAGATGGTCTTGGATGGTGGCGCTACCAGCCTCGAGAAGTGAGCCCCGCGGGGTGACAGTTGCGGTGTTTGAGCTTCTCGCTTGCACTGCACTCCGAAAGAGGAAGGATGGCGGAGGGGGGATGAACCAGGGTGGACCCTGCGTGTACCATCTGAGCCCTTTCGGCGTCCGAGCCCGTTCGGCTGTTGAAGAATCCTACGGCTCGAGCCCGTTCGGCGGCCGAACGTGTCAAATTCACAAGACCAGCAAGCTATGAAACTAATCATGGGATCTTCGATCTGATCTCTGGGGTGGATTCTCCCGCCCACAAATCAACAATAGCCGTCGCGAGTATAGCCGCACCGCCCTGATGTGAGGTCCCTTCCTCTCCTGATGGAACTGGGCCCACTCCAAGATTTCCTGCGGATTGCCTTGCGGATGCCACGACAATGGACACTCTAACAGTCCTATCATTGAATTTAACATGTGTTTAAAATGTCGGACAAATGTTCTAAACATGCTTTAAACGTGTTGTGTTACATGTTCTAAACATGTTTCACACATGTTTTAGACACCTGGAAATTATTTGGCAACATGCTTCCTCTCCATTGATCGTTCTCCACAAGGACTGCCTTTTCGATCAATCCGAGCTCTCGACCCGTTCTCCATGGCCACTTTTGCGTCCTGGATCTCTGACGGTGGCCCCTGGGTCCGACGAAACCTGCACCACCACAGCCGAACTCTGGGAAGATCGCCAGAAATGACCAACATCGATCGGACGGGGGCCTACCAGCCTCGGCAAACAATTCCAGAAGTGGAAGTTGAAATCCTGGAGCACGATGCCTTCGGGCACTTGTCAGGAAGCTCGTTCCTCAATGCTGAGAGGGTGGGGTCGGTTTTTGGACAACACCGCGTCCGAGTCAACAGGCATCCGTCAGCATTGGAGTAATTAGCGCTGACCCCACAGTCACCGAATTCAGAAGTCTTCTGTTTATTTTTGACAAGGCTTGCGTCAGCATTGGAGTAGCGCTGACCCCACAGTCACCGACTGCAGAAGCATTCTGTGTATTTTTGACAAGGCTTGTGGGCAGGATCCGCGTACTCCAGATGTCGTAATACAGGGAGGGGGGTCTCATTTCGGGGGGGGTCTCTTCCAGGCTATCTTGGATGGCCTGGGGGGGTCTGGGGACGATGTTTTGGAGGGTTCTCCCATTCTCGACTGGGAGGGTCCAGACCCCCTCCCTTTTATTACGAAATCTGGAGTAGGCGTGCACGGTCGGGGACTTTTGCTCCGCGCCGCGAGTGCTGCGGCGGCGGCCCTGGCGAGACGCCATGCCCTGCACGCGGACACCGTGCCGCTCCGCTCCGCGCGGCCGAGGGCCAGGAAAAGATCGGGACGCCGACGGTCGGGGGGCTGGGTCGTGGAGAGCGGCGTGCCGCGCCGAAGCGTGGTGGGCCAGAACCTGTAGGGAGCCCACAAAGGACGTACGCGCCCAGCTATGTACATGAACACGGCCCCTCGACTCGCGAGACCGGCCGCGTTATACGGACATTTGTGCAATGCGTGCTCTCGAAACCAGCGTGGATTCATGTACATGTATGTCCTTCTTTCGCTCCTGAACCTGGGAAGACCAAAAGGTCCTGCGGCCGCTCCTCCCCGGAATCCCTCGTCGGGCGCGCTCTGACCAGCACCTCGAGGCGAGTCCGGCCGTGGCGACGAGGGCCTCCCAGGAGGCCCCCGAAGACGGCGAGAGCGAGGGGAAGTGTGGCGGTCTCGGTGCCCGCTCCTCCCCCTGGGGGCCCGCGGCGCGACACACGAAGCCAAAAACTGCCTGGCCGCAGCGTGCGCCCGCAGGCGTGGGGAGAGAGGGCGGCCCTGCCGTCGCTCGGACGTCCCACTCCCCGTGCAGCTTTCGCGGCCTCGCGCGTCTGCTCGCCATCGCTCGGACGCCCACTCCTCGTGCAGCTTTGCCGGCTTCGTGCGTGCAGCTCTTCGCAGGACGGCACAGCATGCTCCTCGAGGGCCCTGGCCGGGAACAAGAACGCGGGCGCCCGAGCGCTGCCCCAAAGGGGCTTATTTTTGTTGCCCGCCCGGGCGGTGCCACGCTGGCCATCGCTCGGACGTCCATTCCCTCTGCTTTTTTCGGTTTCGTGCGTGTTTTTTCGCTAAATGATCAAGGATGCTCCTCGATCGCCCTCGCCGAGAAAAAATGCACACGTCCGAGCGATGCCAGGCACGAGGCGGGGCGGCTGGGGGCCAGGCGGCGTGCGGGGGGGCGCCCCTCAGCGGCATAGTCCGAGGCGTAGCGCTCCGGGCCGTCCCACTCGAAGCCGAGCCACCGCACGTCCTCCTTCGGGCCGCGGAGAGGGCGGCAGGCCCGCGCCGCCATCGTTTTTGGAGGGAGCAGAGCGCCGCCTGCGGGCACTCGCGGCCGAAGCTGACTCTGCGCTTTGCAGCCAGGCACCCCCGACAGCTCCCGAGAGGCCCACAAGAGTCCACAAGCAGTGCCCGAGAAGCCCACGACGCCTCAACCGTGGACTCCCCGCCGCTGCTGGGGGTCGTCGGGATGGCGTAAGCCTCTTGAGGTTAATAGTCTGCGTTGGGCTGCTGGTTTCGCCATCCAGGGAAAGGGCTTAAGGCGGAGGGTGCTTCACAGGCTCGCGCGCTGGCGGGAGCACGAACAGGAGGGGGGACAGCAACAGCGTGGGCAGGAAGGAGAGGGGCGGCGCAACGAGTTCCACTGGCGTGCTCGTCGCAGTCGACTGTGTTTCCAGCTTGGAGGTCGGCCGTGCAATCTGTGGCGCTCCGCGACAAACAACACGTCGAACGCACACAGGGCCCGGGAGTGTAATGAATTACCCTGGGCAAAACGGCGAAGTCGAGGGGGATCTCCGCCTGTTCCTCCGTACGCTCCTTCTCGTCTTCCTACTTCTCCTCCTGAGCCGGGAATGGCGCCGCCTCTCTTCCTCCCCAACTAATGCCCCATCGTCCTCCACTTCCTCCCTCCTCCCTCCCCTCCTCTTCTTACTGTTCCTCCTCCTCCTCCTCCTCCTCCTCCTCCTCCTCCTCCTCCCCCTGCTCTTCCTCCTCCCAGACGGCTGAAACATGGGTATGACGCCTGGCGGCGGGGGCAACTCCTGGATGCTGTCGATGAACTCTTGCTTCTCGCTCGCAGGGTTCGTGTCGTCGAAGCGGAGGTTGCAGGCGCCGTTGAATTTGGCCGCGATGCCGAAAACCGCTCGGCTCGCCACGCGCCCAGATCAGCGTGTCGACGGAAAGACGGGTACCCCAGACACGACCGAGGATGCCTCACCGCACATGTGAACAGCTGCCTCCTCAGCTGGGGCCAGGGGTCGGGGCCCGACTCGCGCGAACATGCGGGAGGGTGGGGCGGGCAGATGCGCCACAGGTAGACACAAATTGCATGGTACAGTCGAGGCGTTGACCTAAGGAACCCCAAATAAGGAACGAGGCCCCTTCTTCCCATAGGTTCGACCTCGATTTCCCATGGAAAACCTCAGGAAAACCCGAGGCAAACTTTGAAACAATCAAGGAACACCGAGCCCCTCTCCAACGAAAAGGGTTCCTTCTTCAGCGCCCCGACTGTAGGAGGCTCTTGAAAGTATCAACGCATGCAGCCTGGACATGCCCCTGGGCCACGGGCGAGACGGTCCAGGGCCTGAGCGCACCTCCCGTAGAGAAGTGGACGGTTAGCACCACGCACACGTACGGCAGGTTCGTATCGTGCCGAACCCGGCGTTGGTTTCTGACACCGCGGGGATCGTTCAACCTTGAACGATCGGCCCTTTCCGAAACGTCAGATCGTTCAACATCGACCGATTCTGGGTCGCTGCCGGCGTTCAACGTTGAACGCCGGCGGCGGGGTCGCCACCGGTCGGCACGACCCGAACCTACTGTACATGACACCGAACTGGACGCGACCCTGGCTGACCCAGGCGGTGGGGGCCAGCACGAAGATGAGGAGGAGCCCAAACCACGGCGTTCCGGACCCGCCACGCGTCACGTTCCAGGCTCGACCTCATGGCTATCCCATTCCTCAAAAAACCGAACGGCTCACACACGAATGCCGCCACGCTCCACAGCAACGTGGGCAAGTGCAGACGTCCGTGCCACGCAGCATGGAAGCCCCGCAAGATCTGCATGCAGCGCTCTCGCCCGAGGGTGAAGCCACAGAGATTACATCCAGGATGATAGCCAAGATCGTGCCAGTCAAGCTTGGGAATGGCCCCCGCCGCTCCAGGGCCGCTTCGCAGATCGCAGCCTCTCTGCCGCCGAAGCCCTCCTCCGCAGCAGCACTCCTCCTTCGGCACGGCCAGGTTCGCGACCCGCCACGCTCCAGGCTGGAGAAAAAGCAGACAAACGCTCTTTTCGTCGGCGGCGAGGCAGAGGCAGTCCGGTCCAACGTGTGGCTGCTCGGGGCAACCGAAAGGCGAATTGTCCGGCGTGCAAGAGGAAGGAAACAAGACGATGGCGGCCGCGCGGGCAAGGCAGACAAAAACATGCTGAACAGCCCTCGAATGGCCTGGGGCGGCTCGCCTCCTCGAGAAACGTTTCCAGCGCCAGGCGGGGGATCGGGAAGCCTCTCAGCGCGGAGCGGCTCCTGAAGAAACGCAGCACAAACAGGAACCTCACCTCACTGGCGCAGCCAAGCAGCAAGACAGAGGCCAAGTGACGGCGGCGAAGCAGAAGACGACCTCGAAGACACTGCATCCGAAGTGCCCCCCGCAGGAGACGGCAAGAGGTCGGCCAGACGCAGCGGCACGGTCGCCATGGCAGCAGGGACCCCGAGAGCGCGTGTCTGCCACTGATACTTGGCGCGATTCGCTTCACGCTGAACTCGAAGTGCGCCACGAAGTGCGTCAGGACCAAGCCCAGCGCCCAGAGTGACGGCTCGCATCGCGAGCATAGTGGGCAGCTCCACGGCCTGCAACATCTCCCGAGCGCGATGGGCCGAGAGACGAGGGACCGCCAGTGGCACCGTCTCAGAGCTGTGGCCGACGAGGCCCAGCGCCAGCGCTTTGGAACGGCGAAGGCGGAGCCGCTCGGGAGGGCAACAGGGGGGAGGAGGGAGGAGGGAGGAGGAGGAGGAGGAGGAGGAGGAGGCGGAGGAGGAGGAGGAGGCGGAGGAGGAGGAGGAGGAGGAGGAGGAGGAAGATGAGGAGGGAGGAGGGAGGAGGGAGGAGGAGAGGGAGGAGGGAGGAGGAGGGACGGAGGATGATAAGTGGGGGAAGAGGAAGAAACGGAGGAGGCAGGGAGGGACGAGGAAGGGCGGAGATGAGCAGCGCCGTCCAGCTTGCCCGCGAGAGCTCGGACGCGGCGCGGGCCGAGCCGCGACCCTGCTCTCTGCGAGGCGGGGCCTATCCATCACCACCGCCTGGGGCATCGGCCTTCGGGGGCCTAGGAAGGCGGCGGAGATTGATATATTGTGCCCCCCCAGGGGCCCGCATGCATCCATCTCCACCGCCTGCCGGGGTCCCCGAAGACCGATCCCCGCGGCGGTGGTGATGGATAGATCTCCGCCTCGGATGCTCTGCTCGCGGAGCCAGCGCGGCGCAACCGTCATGCCACTCGCGCGGAAAAAAAGCCGCTGCCTCCGCGGACCCCTGCCGCGCGGAACGGGGGGGGGGGGGAGAGCCGGGACGGCCCGAGGAGGCCGCCCAGGGCTCCGCGAGCGCGGGTTCTGCGCGGAATCCGCCTGGGACCCCCGTCCGAAGGGGTCCCCTGCGACGGGGAGGAGGAGAAGAGGAGGAAGAGGAGGAGGAGGAGGAGGAGGAGGAGGAGGAGGAGGAGGAGGAGGAGGAGGAGGAGCCGCTGCCCCCGCCGCCGAGGCGGCGGGGGCAGCGGTGGAGGGGGCGGGGCCGATCCACTCGCGCAGCGTGGCCGAGCGAGGAGGCGCGCCTCTGCACGACGCCGCCCGCTGGCCCCCCGCGGCGGCGGCCCCTGCGACGGTGGGCGCTGCCAGGGGGGCCGTCGCGCGCTGTGCGGAGGGGGGCCGTGGAGCTCGTCTGGGCGAGGGCGGGGGGGGGGGCGAGGGCGGAGGGGGAAGCGGAGGGACAGTACATGGACATTCTATTCGAACCCTGTGGCCCAAGATGCCCCCCGGACCCCCCGAAATCAATATTGATGGCGTGGCGACGGGGGGTGGGGGGCGTGAGTGGACAGAAATATTCGAACCCCAGAGCACCGCCTATACTGAGATCAACATTGATGTCGGGGGCGCGGGGGTGATTTAGAATCCCCCTCAAATGTGTAAGGGTTCGAATATCTTGTCCATGTACGGGAGGGAGGCGGTAGGGGGCGAAGGGGGGAGGCGGGTCTGGGGGCTCGCCTGGGGGGAGGAGGGAGAAGGGAGGGTGTGCGCGCGTGTGTGTGTGTGTGTGTGTTCTCGGGAGAGGCGGGGCAGAGGTCGGGGTGGCTCTCTGGGAAGTCCCAGGGAGGGGGCATCCGCAGGAGTGGAAGGGAAGGATGGCCAAGGAGGAGTAGTCCCTCCAAGACCCCGTCCCCCCCAAAAGCAAGCACTTCCTCGCCAGAACCACTGAAAACCACGCACGTGGAAGACGACAGGGATGAGCATGGGAGACGTTGCACTTCCTGCTGTTCCTGCTTGTCCTCCTATGGGTGCCCGACCCCTCGCCCCACCCCTCCAAGGGCACGTGTGGGACGATCGCACGGACCCCGCGTAGTGGCGAAGGACAGACAACACGCCGCCAGAACGAACGCATTCGGCAACGCTTTCTGTGCTTGTTCTCTCTGGCGGAGGGGCGGGCCGTCGTGGCCGTCCAGCGTGTCAGCCTTCCTGGCTTTCCGGCCGCCCCGGGCAGGGAAGGCAACCGCGGATTCGAGCGCGCGGAGCGCCGAGGATTCAAGCAGATGGACTTGGCGTGGCCGATGTGCAGGTAGCCGTTCGGCTCGGGCGGGAAGCGCGTGCGCACGCGGCCGCCGTACGTTCCTCTCCGATCGGAAGGGGAGGACGAGAAAGCAGGAGAGGGGGATAGGGGGGAGGGTGTATAGGAGGATTGAGAGCCTCCCAGGGGATCGGGAAGAAGACAACGGGCGAATGGAGGAGGAAGGAGGGGAAGGGGGGTGCGGGTGAAGGGGGAGTGTTCTGCTGACGGAGGCGGAGACGGGGTCGCAAAAAGAGCAGCGGAAGGAGGGCGCGGGCGAGGAAGTGGCGAAGGCACAAGGAGGGGGGGGGGCACATCACGTGTGGAGGCGGAGGCGGAGGCGCCAGAGCAGGCATTGGACGGAGCAGAGAGATGGGCCGGGACTTCGTGGGGGGCAGCAGGCAGAGCAGCAGAGGGGCCACGTCCAGGAGGTGGGAGGCGTGACGTGCTTCGGAGCCAGGGCGTCAAGAAACAACTGCTGCTTGCTGGGAGGAGGAGGCCCACCACTGCCACCCGGGGGAAGAGGGGGGGGGGATCCGCAGATCTGCGGGAATCTGGCGCGCAAGGTGCCCCCTCGAGATCGCTGAAACAGCAGGCGGCACCGTTACCACATGACTTCTCCGTTCTGTTGTTGCTCCCATCCCTCATGTGGCCCCCCTTCAATGACGAAGCAGACCGAAACAAGGTCTGGTCGGGTGCGCCCCGGAAGTTCCACGATGCCCGACATTGACCAGGGGGCGCAAACTAGTACTTTGCACGCAGTGTCGCTCACACCCACAACTTGACATCGTTAAGAAAACTGCGTAACACATGTTTGAAGTTTCAATAGTCGAAGGTGGTACTTACACCTAGCCTTTCAGGAACCGATGTCAGAACCCGACGCCGTGGACAAAGATGACGCTTAAGCACGAGCCATCCACAACGATACACCTCGACGCCATCGTTGCGCAGTATTTCGAGCCAGACCGAACCACTAAAGAATCTGTGGCTGGAAACGGGGCGGACACGTTGCGAGGAGAATGCCCAAAACTCATATGATCACGTGCTTGTTTATTTTAAAAGTGTGTCTTGACGGAAGTCTGGATATTCCAGATGACCCGCTCGGAAGAGAGAGAGGTCAAACCCTTTGCCCTCCTCCCTCTCTTCTGCCCCCCCTCACTCCTTCCATACTCCTCCGCCTCCTCCCCCCCCACCTGCATCCTCCCTCCTCCCTTTCTGCCTCCTCCCTCCCTCCCTCCTCCCTCCTCCTCCCTCTCTGCCTCCTTACTCCTCCCTCCCCCCCTGCCCAGATCCTCTGCCCAGGTCGTCGGCCACGATCTCCTCCACGAAGTTGCTCACCTCGACCTCGGCGGTGTCGCCCGGGGGCCCTCCAGCGGCAACGGCAACTCCTCTCGGGGAGTGCAGGAGGATGGGTCGGACGAAGATCAGGACGAGATCTCTCGATGCAGCCCTTCAGCGTAACAGGAGCATCGGCAACGTCGGCGGGCTTGAGGCGACGAACCGACCGCGGCGATGGTCTCCCATTCAATATCGGCCATCGCATGCATCGGCCGCGAACGGGAGCATCGTCGGCGGGCTTTGAGGCGACGAACCGACCGCGGCCATGGCCTCCCATTCAACATCGGCCATCGCATGCGTCGGCCGCGAACGGGAGCATCGGCAACATCGGCGACATCGGCCTTATGCAGATGGCCTCCCGCTCAAGACAGAGCAAGCGCGGCAGGCCTCGAATCGATCTGGAACCCGCCCCCACACCGCCCAGGGCCCTGGCGCCTGGCACGCGACGGGGCCAAATGAGGGCAAGGACGGAGGAGGGGCAGGGGGGAGGAGGAAGAGGAGGAGGAGGAGGAGGAGGAGGAGGAGGAGGAGGAGGAGGAGGAGGAGGAGGAGAGGAGGAGGGAGGAAGGAGGAGGAGGAGAGGAGGAGGGGGGGGAGGAGGGGGAGGAGGAGGACGAGGAGGAGGAGGAGGAGGAGGAGGAGGAGGAAGAGGAGGAGGAGGAGGAGGAGGAGGAGGAGGAGGAGGAGGAGGAGGAGGATTATTGTAGTTCTGGGCCAGGCATCTCTATCCGATTCGAGACCCTGGCCAGGACGGGACCCTGGAGGACGACGGATCTCGGCCTGGCTCCGCTCCCCGGCACGGCGGCACCGTTCACGGCAACGGCTCTGCCCAGTCGGCAGAGGCGAGGGACGAGGAGGAGAAGGAAGGAGGGGAGAACCATTGAGAGGCGTGACGCGGGAGGCAGTGATGACTCAGGGGGAGGGGCCTAGCGGCGCACTGTGCGGAGGGGGCGAGGAGCGTCGTGGGGGTGTTTGGGATGGAGGAGCGAGGAGAAGCGACTAGGGGGGAGGCTGGGGCAGGGAGGAGTACGTAAGAATGAAGGAACAGTGAGGAGGTAATGGTTGTTGGTAGCGACTGCGACTTTGCGTCTGCGTGTCGGTGCGGGCAAAAGTAATAGCATAACAGTATAGAGCGGCTGCTTGCAACCTGGGCGAGGGGACCATGGCCTCACTGCCTCATCGCGGTGGTCATGGGGCACTGCGGATGGGCAAACCTTTCTCTGAGAGGACCAAGCTGGGTCCGCGCAACTAGGCGGCGAGCCAGGGGGGGAAACGAGAAGGGTCGTGCCTTCTCAGCAGGCTCGGAAGTCCCCCGGACTTCTGAGAAGTCTTCTGAGCCTTCCCCGAAGGCAGAACAACTTCTCAGAAGGCGCGATGGGCTTCCGAGAAGTCCCGCCGCCTTCTAAGAAGGCCTCCCCCTCCCCCTGCCCCTCCCCCTCCCCCCCTCCTCCCCCCCCTCCCCCTCCCCCTCCCCCTCCCCCCCCCCTCCTCCTCCTCCTCCTCCTCCCTCCTCCTCCTCCGCCTCCTCCTCCTCCTCCCCTCCTCCCTCCTTCCCCTCCTCCTCCTCCTCCTCCTCCTCTCGTCCTCCTCCTCCTCCTCCTCCTCCTCGTCCTCCTCCTCCTCCTCCTCCTGCTCCTCCGCCCTCCCTCCTCCTCCTCCTCGTCCTCTCCTCCCCCTCCTCCCCCTCCCTCCTCCTCCTCTCCTCCTCCTCCTCCTCCTCCTCCTCCTCCTCCTCCTCCTCCTCCTCCTCCTCCTCCTCCTCCTCCTCTCCTCCTCCTCCTCCTCCTCCTCCTCCTCCTCCTCCTCCTCCCTCCTCCCTCCTCCTCCCCTCCTCCTCTCCTTCCTCCTCCTCCTCCTCCTCCTCCTCCTCCTCCCTCCTCCTCTCCCCCCTCCTCCTCCTCTCTCCTCTCCTCCTCCTCCACCTCCTTCCTCCTCCCCTCCTCCTCCTCCCTTCTCCCCCTCCTCTTCCTCCCCCTCCTCCTCCTTCTCCTCTTCAATGCCCCCCCCCGCTCGCCGCCGAGCAACATCCCTCGGTCCAGAATTGCTCCGCGGCACGGGCGGGCGGACGGACCACGGCGACGCCGGCCACGACGGCGGCGCACGGGGGGCGGGCGGGCGGGCGAGCGAAGACGCTGGCTGACGACGGACCACGGAGGAGTAACGAGGAGGAGGAGGAGGAGGAGGAGGAGGAGGAGGAGGAGGAGGAGGAGGAGGAGGAGGAGGAGGAGGAGGACGAGGAGGACGAGGAGGACGACGAGGGGAGAACTGAACATGCCGATACCGCAAGCTAGTGCTCCTTGGACCTCCCCCGAGATGCGATCTGACCAGGATTCCGAGGCGAACCCCGCCGTGGCGACGCCGCCCCCCTCCCCCCCCCGAAGGCCCAAGGTGGCCACAAAGAGGAGCGGCCATCGGCAACGACGACGGACGACGCCCGCACCTCTCCAGGGGCCCGTTTCGACCACAATCCTGAGGGTAAGTGAGCCGTGCGACGCGGAGCCCCCCCGGAGCCGCAAAAAATGGCCAACATCTCGATCTTCGATCTTCGAAGCTCGTGAACGACGACAGCGGTTGGCGGCGCGCACAACGGGGGTAGCGCGAGTGGGGCGATCTTCCGGGAAAGCAAGGCGGGGCTTCTTGAAGCCGCCAGGCCCTTCGGAGAATGGTCCTATTTGTTTATGGCCCCCCCCTCTTCATAGAAGCCCGCCCCATCCCTCTCGCCACCCCCTCGGTTGGCATGAGCGAAATCGGGGGCCTCGAGACGGGGGCCAATGCAAACGGGGGTCAGCCAGACTGAGAGTGCCGCATCTTGCAGGATCATGCTGAGCCCAGGGTGCACTTGACCCGAGCTAGGGCGCAGGACGCTGCAGGATCCCGCAGGATCTCGCAGGATCCTGCAGTTACCCGACCGACTCGGGTCTGCATTGACCCGGCCGGGTCAATCTCGGGGGTCGCCAGAGGTGCCCCTGGCCCGAGGTGCCCCCAGCTCCTCGCCCAGTTTTGGAGCCCCGGGGGCCCTCTAGGCCTCGCGAGGGGGTGCTCTGGAGGCCGTGGGGGCACCCTTGGAAGTCCTGGGCGCACCCTGGGCCAGGGGCACTCCTGGCAGCCCCCTGGCCAGCAGTCTCCCGACGAAGCACCATAAAAGGGGCCCCAGGACACACAAATACATACACACAAATAAACATGTTCCCCATGTTTTCCCATGTTTTCTGGGCTTTGTCTTCCCCCCCACTTCCCATATTTTCCCACATATATATATATATATATATATATATATATACATATATTCCCGGGACTCGACGATTCATTGTGTCTGTGTGTTTTTCCCTCTCCTGACACCAAGCCCTGGCGCACGCCCGTCCCGCCCGAGGCGGGTCCGCGGACCCGCCTCGGGGCCGTCCCCCGCAGGCCACCCCCACCGCCCCGAGGGCCCCTCTGTGGACGGCCTCGGGGCTCGAGCGGGTGGCCCTGACTCCAGATCCCTCCTCTCCTCCTCCCTCCTCCCTCTCCCTCCTCCCTCCTCCCTCCTCCCTCCTCCTCCTCCTCCTCCTCCTCCTCCTCCTCCTCCTCCTCCTCCTCCTCCTCCCTGACTCCAGATCCGCCCTACTTTAGCTTTTTTTCCAACTTAAGATTGCGCCGGAAATCCACCTATAAGAGGCCGAAAAAGTGGGGCGGAAATTGCTGCACCCAACATAGAGTAGGGCGGAAATCCACATGGGTAGGGCGGAAACAGCAGCAGAAAAGTAGGGCGGAAATTGGTATCAGCGGGGCTTGAAAAGTAAGGCGGAAATTCCAAGCCCTACTTACGAATTTCCCCAAAGTAGGGCGGATCCGGAGTCAGGGCTCTGTGGACGGCCTCGGGGCTCGAGCGGGTGGGGGGTGACCTGAACTTGCAGTCGCTCGGACGTCCATTTCCCGTGCATGTTTCGGTTTCGTGCGTGCTTTTGTTTTGCTGCTCGATGGTCCAGGATGGTCCTCGATGCTTCTCGCCGAGAACAACTGCACGCGTCCGAGGGATGCCAAGTGAAGGGGAGGGGGGGAAGGAGAAGGACCCCAAAATGGGGCCCTTGTCAAGGCCCCTCTGGGGCTGGCGGCGGCCCAGAGAGGTTTCCATTGCAGGCCCCTTCCCGGCCCTGCTCCTCGCCCCCCGGTCTAAGGTTAAGTCAGGCCTGTCCCCCTACAGGGGGATTTTCGACGAAAAATCAAAAATACCCCAAACATAACCAACAAATAATCAAACAATAATCTGGGGACTATTTTTTGAATTTTTTGTTTGCCTTTTTGGGGTATTTTTGTAGTTCTTTTTTACTTTTCGTCGAAAATCCCCCTGTAGGGGAAGAGGCCCGACTTAGATCTAAGGTCCCCCCCCCATTGCCACCCGCGGCCCGAGAACGGCACACGCCCACCTCCGGGCCCGGCCGCCCCCCGAAGGGCCCAGCCGCCCCTCCCTGAAGGGGCCCGGGGACACACGAGTAAATGCACACAAATAAAATGATTCCCCATGGGCGTTGACCTGAGGAACGATAAAGAAGGGACGAGGCCCCCCTTTTTTCCCACATAGTAAACTTCGATCTCCCATCGAAGACCCAAAGAAAACCTGAGGCAAGCTGCGAAACACTTAAGGAACACGGAGCCCCTCCCCAACGAAAAGGGTTCCTTCTTCAGCGCCCCGACTGTAAATACACACACATAAAACGAAGCCCCATCTTTTCCCATGTTCTCTGGGTTTCTGTCGTCCCCCCTGGATATCCCCATGTTTTCCCATGTATTTTCTCGGGGATCGACGATGCATTGTGCCTGCGTTATTTTTTCCCCTCCTGACTCACGGCGGCCCTGCGCGCGCCAGCGACCGCACCGCCACCCCTCCGCAGCTCCGCGGGGGTGCGGCGGAGGTTTTGGGCGCCCGGCATGGGCGGCACAAGGCCCCAACAACCCTGACTCCAGATCCGCCCTACTTTGGCTTTTTTCCAACTTAAAATTGCGTCGGAAATCCACCTAGACGAGGCCGAAACAGTAGGGCGGAAATTGCTGCACCCAACATAAAAGGGGGCGGAAATCCACAGAAACAGCAACAGAAAAGTAGGGCGGCAATTGGCATCAGCGGGGCTTGAAAAGTAAGGCGGAAATTCCAAGCCCTACTTACGAATTTCCCCAAAGTAGGGCGGATCCGGAGTCAGGGAAGGCCCCAACAAGGGATGCTGTCCAAGACCGGCAGCGGCAGCTGTTGGGCAGGCGGCTTCTTGTCATCAGTGAACAACGTCGGCGGCGGCGCGGACAGCGAGTCCTGTTCAAAGGGAGCACGAACTGCATTTGGGCACCGTTCCCATTCTTCCCGTACCGATGTCGACCGCCCCGAAAGATGGGAGGGGCGACCGGCCGCCGAGTTTGCAAGCCCAGTGGCGCTAAAAGTATGACCAAACGATCCTCGGGGCAGCTGAACTTGTCTCAAATGTTCTCAGTTGTTTCGAAACTCCAGAATTTCTCGCAATTCGCCTCAATGTCTCTCAGTTAGACCTTGCGGTGCGCTCAACTTTCGCCTCCCCAGTTGGCGCGACCCCAATGTGGAGCTGAGGGAAGCCCTCGAACTTCTGGTTAGCGACTCCCGGTAGGCCTTCGTGAGGACCATTCTGTGTGAGGGCTGTGAAGCCCGGTGGAGGGGCTGTTGGACACCGACTTCGCCGAGACTGCACCCACTATTGAGCCCGACCGGTTGAGCCGGATTGAGCGGAACCGCGCGAGATCATGCCAGCTTCCGACCGCAGACCAGCGGCGAATGCTGAGCGAAACCTCCCAGCAATTGCATCCTGAGAGACTCGTGCACGACGACGACGACGGCGGCGGCGGCAGAGCCGACTCGCGGCGGTCCGCCGCCGAAGCCGCGACGGGCCGCCGCCCCGGGGGAGGGGCGGCGGGCACGCGCTCCTCGCGCGCCGCCGATCAATCCTCGGCCCGGCAGCGAACGACGAGTTCTTGTTATTGGGCCGTGTGTTGGCGACAAGCCCCGACCCCCCTGCACTTACAACCGCACGGCGCCACGAGCGGGGACCGGACGAGGGCCCGAGCATCGAAGCGAAGCGAGGGCCGGGGGAGGACACCACGGCGGAGGGACCACGACCGAGGAGGGACACCTGGGGAAGCCAACAGGTACCGATACCGATCCTCCCCGGACCTCTCCTGGGGTGCGTTCTGACTAGAATTTCGAGGCGAATCCAACGGCGGGGACGAGGGCCTCCGAGGAGGCCCCCTCAAAAAAGGAAACGGGCGAAGGGTAGAGGTACGGGTACCTCTTCCTCGCCTGCACACCGAGGCCCGACACCGCGCAGGGCCTGTGCGAACGGCGACGACCGCGGCGGGCGTCGGGCGTCGCGCGGCGCAGGCCGCCGACGGCGGCGCGGGCGCGCGGGCCCCCCTTGGGAGCGGCGCGGGGAGGCGCTCCGCGCGCGCGCGCCCAGCGCCTCGCCCCGCGCACGCGGCGCCGCCCGGGCGCCAGCGCCAGCGCCAGCAGCGCGCCGCCGCCGCACACTGGGCGGGGGCGTCGGCAGGCCGCGGCGGCCGACGCACGTCGGCCACGACGACGACGACGCCGACGGACCGACGGACCGGCCAACGGACCGACCGACCGACGAGGGCGCCGACGACGGCGGCGGCGGAGACGGCGGCGGCGGATACGACAACGGCGGCGGCGACGGCCGACGGACGGACGGCCGTGGCGGCGGCGGCGGCGTGCGCACCGCTGGGCGAACACTGCGATGGGGGGAGTGCACAGCGAGGCGGACCTCGTCATGCTGCTCCACCTCCTTCCTCCTCCTCCTCCTCTTCCTCCTCCTCCTCCTCCTCCTCCTCCTCCTCCTCCTCAACTTCCTCCCTGCTCCTCCCACTCCTCCTCGTCCTCCTCCTCCTCCTCCCCTTCCCTCCCCCCTCTCCTCCCCTTCTCCTCCTTCCTCCTTCCTCTCCTCCTCCCCCCTCCTCCTCCTCCTCCTCCTCCTCCTCCTCCTCCTCCTCCCTCCTCCTCCTCCTCCTCCTCCTCCTCCTCCTCCTCCTCCTCCTCCTCCCTCGAACCCCCCAGAAGGTCCCAGTTGCCTCACAGGAGCGTCCAACACTTCTCGATAGGCTTTCGGAGGCCCCCTATGCCCCTTTGGGGCCCTCCGCGATGGCCCCACGAGGCGCTTGAGGGGCTCCAAGAGGCTTTCCAGACACCAGATAGAAGGCCAAGAGGATCCCCCAGAAGGGTCAACATCACTCAACCACATGAGGCATTCGTTGGGTTTTGAATGCTCCCTTCCTCCCAGCTCCAGATAGTCCCAAAAGGGCTTAGGATGAGCCCGAAATAGCGCCCAGAAGCACGAGGTTCCCAAGATGCACTTCAGAGTGGGCAGAATAGCCTGGAAGAGGGCCCTAGAAAGGCCTGAGAGGGCCCGAAGACAGGCCAGGAGACGGCCCAAACCGCCCAAGGAGGCCCCGAGAGGGTCCAACGGGCCCCCGCGAGATTCTCCCAGGACGGCAGAGAGTGGCCCAAGGCGGCCCGACAGGGGGTCCCCAAGACGCGCCAAGAGTGTGTCCCAAGAGGCCTCCAAGACGGCCCGACATTGGCCCAGGAGAGCCCCTCGACGACCACGCAAGCCACTCGAGGAATAGAGACGATCCGCTCGATGTGCCACATGCTACGTTTTTTTTTTTTTGTGTTGTGTGGTGATCGAAGTGTCACCCTGCGCAGTCATCTGGATGACGACGCAGGGCACGGACGCAGGAGCGGTGACGCCAACGTCTGCCGAGGCAACGTGGGCGTGGTCCAAGGACAGAAATTACCCTGTGACGTACCCAACACTTCCTGTAAATGTGGTGATTATACTCAGGACCACGCAATGCTGACTGGCATTCTGAAGGACCCGCAGTGCGCAAGAAGAGCACCCAGCAGTGATTTCGGAAGAGCGCAGCAAGAAGAGGAACGGCAAACATACAGCATGGAAACACAGGGGCGTTGAAAGAAACGCGCCCAAAACGTGAACACAGAAGGGCGCGGCGGCGAGGGCTAAAACAGAACATCAGTTGAACTCAGCAGCGCGCTGCGCTGAGCGGGGCGAATGCATGAGGTGCATCACGGGGGCGGGGACTCTCCCAGAAGTGGAGACGGAAGGGCGCTGGGCCTCCCGGGAGCGCGCGAAAGTGGCGACAGTTGCGCAGATCGCAGGCTCCCCATGGGGGCGGCGAGGTCCCGAGGTGGTCCGCGTGTGGCGTAGCTCCGCTGGGCCTCCCAGGAGCCCACGAAAGTGGCGACAGTTGCGCAGATCGCAAGCCCCCCAGGGGCCGGCGAGGTCCCGAGGTCCCCGAGGGAGCGGCGATGAATGAACTTGCAGGGCTGCGCAAGTACAGGACACAAGGGTACCCTGCTGCGAGGGAGCGACCTCGAATCAACGCGTCGTTGGTTCACAAGCGGCGCGCCCGAACTCAGAGGACATCGCAGATAGACCCTTCGCCGCGGCGCCAGCGGCGCGGCGCTGAAACCATAATCATACCTTGAAGCCACATGAGCCCCCAAATCCGAGAGGACGCCAGGGTACCCTAGACAGGGGCCGCGACCTCCCGCCGGCGCGACGCGCTCAGACCGCCGCGGGCCAAGCCACCGACACCCGCGGAAACCACAGGACGCAAGGGTACCCTGCCCTTCGGCCGCAGAGGACACGACGCGCGATGCACAGGACACAAGAGCACCCTTGATTTCGCAGGGCCGACCTACTAATGGAACCCGACTGTAGCTCCGCTGGGCCTCCCAGACGCCCACGAAAGTGGCGACAGTTGCGCAGATCGCAGCCCGAGGAACAAATGAAGCAGGAGAGAAGGAGGAGGGGAGGAGAGGGGAGGAGGAAGGACGGGCCGACCACACTGCTCTATTCAAAACGAGAACCCAACACAGGAGGGTTGGGGAGGCAACGTGGGCGTGGCCCAAAGACAGAAACAAAATGGGGGACGACCAGTGAAATCCTTAACGATGCCAGTCCGGGTATGGTCTTCCGACAGAGCTGCCACACACTCAAATCATCCATCCGAAATGACTTAAGATCGACCTAGCGATTGATAATATGAGCTGCTGGTCCAATAAGAAAGGATAATAACCAACTCGTCTGGCTTCGCAGTCTGAAGCTGGTCCATTTAACACTCGACGGCGTCGGGCTTCGTAGCCTGAAATCTCTAACAGCGGGTGCCACAGACGCAGCACGCAAATGAGGGTTGTGCATTTATCGAGAATCACATGCGTCCCCTTCTTCTCCACCTCCCTTTCGTTCCTCTTCCACCCTCCCACTTCCCCCTCCTTCCATCTCCTCCTTTCTGCTCCACTTTTCCTCCTCCTGTCTCCCATCCCCACCTTGACTCTCATCTCTCACCTCTCTTCCTTCTCCCTTCTGAACCTCCCCATCCCTCATCCTCCCTGCTCCTCATACCTCCTCCCTTCTCCGTCTCCTCCCCCCCCCTTCTTATCCTCCTCAAGCAAGCCAGACCTCGTCCCAAGAGCAAGCACCCGGCAAGCCCTGCCGACCCCACGTCTTGGTGAGGGCGTCAACTGTCTCGTGGAACGAACAACTGCGCCGTCCCCCGGCATGCTCCCATGCTGGGACGCAGCCAGGACCTGGCCAACGTCGAACCAGGGCAGATCGGGGACCTCTGAGGTCCGGCAGTTCTGGAGGACTTCTCGGGCGCCGCAATCGTGTCACAGCGCTCCAGAGCGCACCGACAGCGCTCCAGAGTGCTCTCCGAACGATATACAGTCGGGGCGCTGACCTAAGGAACCCTAAATAAGGAACGATGCCCCTTTTCTCCAGAAGCTGAACTTCGATTCCCGATCGAAGGCATGAGGAAAACCTGAGGCAGGCTGCGAAACACTTAAGGAACGCGGAGCCCCTCCCCAACGAAAAGGGTTCCTTCTTCAGGGCCCCGACTGTACCCTTGTCCCAGCCCCGCCCGACGTGCTCCGCATCCGCCACCTCTCGCAGCACGCTCGCGTCCTGCTGGGCCGCGCCCCCGGCGAGCCGTTCCCACGAAGAAGAGCTCCGCGGGCGTGCCCAGGGTGGCGGCGCTGCCGCCTCGCCGCCGAGCCGAGCGGGGCGATCCGATCGGGCTGTCGCACGCCGAAAACATCTGCACACCACTACCGTCGCAAGCCCTGGAAACGACGGGCCCATTTTTTTGGGCTCCGCTTTTCAATTGTTGTTCTGTCTCAGCCGCCGTATTTTTTCTGGCTCCGCCGCCGTTCTGGTTGCGGTTCTGGTTCCGACTCCGATTCTGGCACCGTCTTTTCCCCAACCCATCCTGTGTTGGGCTCTCGCTTTGGATAGCGCACTGCGGTCGCATCCCCTTCTCCTTTCCTCCTCCTCCTTCGCCTCCTCCTCATCTTCCCCCTCCTTCCTGCCGTCTGCTTCCTGTTTCCTCTGTCCTGCCTTCTACTTCTGCCTGCCCCCTACTTCTTCGCGGGCTCCTGGGAGGCACGCCCGAGTAGCGGAGTACGCGGATCCATGCGGCACTTCGCTGCTCCAAGGTTGCCTGCGAACTGCGCAACTATCGCCACTCTCGTGGGCTCCTAGGAGGCACGGCGGAGTAGCGGAGTACGCGGACCCAGCCGAGACCTCGCAGCTCCCTGAGGGGTCTGCGAACTGCGCAATTGCTGCCACTTTCGTGGGCTCGTGGGAGGCACGGCGGAGATGAGGGCAGAGCAGATCGTTCATACCAAGCGATGTCTTCTTCTGTATGGAGCGTCAATGCACATGTTCGCATCGCGTAGAGAAAAGATTGGGAACGTCTCGGGTACTTCGTTTCCGTCTTGGTGAACTTGTCTCTTAGCGTACTCCTACTCAATGTCCAGATTCTCGGAGACAGTAACAAAAAAGCAACTGTATCGTTTCCAAGGCCCACTAAGACCACCACCATTCCTGGTCAGGGTCATCCCGTGCCGTTGCGACTTATCCTGCGTGTCGGCGCTGCTGCCGCTGCAGCCGCCGCCACCGCCGCCGCCCCCACCCGTGTTTTGCTGCTGGTGCTGCTGGTGCTGCTGCTGAACCGTCACGTGTGAAATAATGCGCTGGTCCCCCATGTGGGGGGCCACCAGGATGTGTGTCTGAAGAATCAGCAGCTGAGCCCTTTAGCCTTCACCTCCGCAAGGAGGCAGCCAATAACGTTGCAAGATTCTTAGAAGCTCAGAAACTTGACAGCTTATCGGCCGATATTCGCCTGCAGCCAGTTCTTAGAGCACAGAGCTGCACTGTTTCGGAGGCCTCCTACGTAGATGGGGTCCGAGCAGGGGGGGCTGGAGGATTGCACCGCATCGCCATTGCATCGCCGATTCATTGGCAACGCATCGGCGATGCATCGGCGACGTCGGCGTGGAGAAGATCGGGCTCCACATCGAGCCCCATTGCCGATGCGGAACGACCCTCCGACCCCATCTACTCCGATCCCATCTGGGAGCCCTAAGTGTTTGCAAGAATCTGATCGGAAATTGGGGGGCGAGATCGAAGTGGAACGGAGAGCGCCCCTCTGGCAAATCGGATTCGGTTTCGTGTTCGTGTCGTGTGTGGAGACGAGGTGGAGCTGCGTGGGCGGGCGGGAGGAATGAACCCTGCATTGCTAGGGCGCCGCCGGTACAGAAGTCCGGCCCGACGATCATGGTGTCCACGCCTCGGCGACAAGGAGGTTCGCGAATAATTTCGGCACGCGCACGTGCGGCCGACGCGCGCGAGTGGCCCGCGTAACGCTTTTTGACAAGGATCGCGCCCCCCTCCCCAGCACGTGCGCCAGGGCGTCACGCGCGCGAGCGGGCCGCTCATGTGGTGGAACCTTTAAACAAGCGATTGCTGTCTTGGGATGTCGTAAGAGCGCATACCTTCTTTGATACATTACTGTGCAAAGCCATGCGTTCATAGACGTACCCGGGACACTGAATTCTGAAGTGACTGCGACATGTGTTGAAGGATTTCTGCATGCACTCGCGGCGACGAGCGCGTGTACTTCGCCCGATTTCTTCGAAAAGGGATGATTGACACTTGATGACCTTTATGAACGAGGGCGCGCGCATAAAACCATGTGGCGAAAAGGGGCGTCTCCCTGGGAACAGTCCTTCATCCCGAGCTGTTTGTTGCGGGCCTGGGCCCCGTGAAGTCCCGAAAATCCTGAATCACCTAGGCAACAGCAACCACTGCTGCACAGCCGCAGGGGGGCCAAACCCAAGCGCGCAAACCGCTGCTCCCGCACCCTCTGTTTGTCATCGGGAGGCCCCAATGGGCCCGTCATTCCGACCTCGGCCCTCCAAGACGAGGGGGGGGAACACCCGTGTCAGCGGACAAAAAAACTGCTCGGATGAGCTGGCCCGTAGGCGCTTCACGGCGCACCCGCAGCTGAAGCCGAAGCCAAAGCCGAAAGTACGCAGAAACACTGCAAGGCCCCGTCCTGCAGGCTTGGTCGACGGCATTATCGTTGAGCGGCGCTGCAGCCTCCCCAGAGCACAGCCCAACCCCGGAGCATCGGACAGACCAGTCGGGCCTGCACTCCAAGAAGGCTTCCGCTCGATCCATCTGCTGGCGGGGGGGGGCGCCCGCCTGCAGCGCCACCGCCGCTCCCGCGCCGCGGGCCACCCGGCGCGCCCAGGCGCTGGGGAGGCCGCGCCTCAGGGTACAGCCGCAGCGGTGCCCTCCTCCTCTTCCTGCTCCTCCTGCTCCTCCTGCTCCTCCTCCTCCTCCTCCTCTCCCTGCTCCTCCTCCTCCTCCTCCTCCTCCTCCTCCTCCTCCTCCTCCTCGGCATCACAACCAAAAGGTGGGGCGACCCCAGGGTGGAAGGAGAACGAGGACGGAGGACACAGCAGCAGGAGGCGCGAGGAAGGCAGGGAGAAAAAAGGATTTGTTTGACAGCCACAGCCACAAAGCCCATCAAAGGGGGCAAACCGTCTCGAGATCGGCAGTGACCCCGACCCTCCTGCGGGCAGGGTGGAGACCTTTGCGCAATCTCGACTGAACTTCTCTTCGAGCAGGCGGACTGATTAGACATTGCTTTGGAAACCGCCTTATTTGCCCACCTGTCGCGAACGCAGCACGGGTTTGACGGACGTAAGCGAAACTATTGTCACTGAAGTCGAGGAAGAGAGCCGAGTATTCACTTTGGCTGGCACACGCTGCAGGCGGCGGTGCGCTGACGGCGCGGGCCACAGACGCAAGAGATTCAGATCGTCGATGTAGATATCCAGAGTGGTGCTGGGGGCCAGCGGAACCGAGTCGAGCGATTCGACCCCGAACACTTTCATCGTGGACGTGACCATCGAAAAGCGAGCCACCGCTCCGAACTCGGCGTAGACTCACTAACTCGCAAGCCATATGCCGTCCGGCGCGCGGGCAAGAACACACTCTCAAACAACGACGTGACATGGAATGTAAAACGCTGCGCCGGGTAAGTGGATCAGGAGGAGGAGGATGCGGAGGAGGAGGAGGAGAAGGAGGAGGAGGAGGAGGAGGATATGGAGGAGGAGGAGGAGGAGGAGGATGCGGAGGAGGAGGAGGAAGAGGAGGAGGAGCACGAGAAGGAGGAGGAGAAGGAGCGGAGGTGAGGAGCAACCGACCACTGCGCACAAAACCGCACGTCTGGCCGAACGGTGAGCGCACACACAAGCAGACCCCGAGCAGAACCGGGCGAACGGTAAGCCTGCGACCGCGACGCGCGAGCAGCACCAGGGGGGGATCTGCTCGCGATGCTTAAGCCAAAGGGTATCAAGAAGGATGCAAGAGTCTTGGAGGCCCGCGCGGGCATTCTTCGAACGGGGCTGGCCAGCGGAAGTCGCTAAGGATGGGCCCCAGGGGCAAGGGATCCAAGGGCACCCTCGGGAAGGTTGCCCATCCTTGTGGTGCGGGTGGGCTGTATCTGAAGCGGGCGAGAGGAGGGAGAGGGTCCCGCAAACACGTGAACCCCCCAAGCGCCCCCACCCCCGCGAGACGCGGGCACACTCCAGACGGGGAGCGGGTCTGGACAGGTCCCAAGAGAGCGGGCCACAGTAGGGGCTCGACCACAAGAAACACCTTCCACAAGAAACCCCACCCTGAGACCCCAGGGCGTCCATTGATTTTCGGCGTGGGAGCGTCACGCTCTCCATAGCAAAACCATCGAAGCCAAAGAACCCAGGGCACCCTGGAGGCAAGCCGGATGTTTCTTGGCATGGGCCCCCCCGGTATAGGAGTCGTGCTGTGCCCCGCACCGCGCCGCAGCCTGCGCGCCGCAGGCTCCCGCACCCCTGCTGCACCATGCCCTCAACCCGTATGACGCGCCTCGCGTCTCGGGGGCGCGGGGCGGCTGGTGGCTGGACGCGTTCTCCGAAGAACTGTGGCCCACGCCCCCCGCGCCCCTCAACTCCTTCTCAACATCGCTTAGAGGATGGCGGCGGGGGCTGCGAGGAACAAGGGGAAAAGGTGGTGGGGGACTCCTGGCAGGGCCCCCCCACAGAGAGGCTTGTGCTAGACAGGGCCATGATAAGCGTGGGCCAGTGTCGGTGCGAGACTGAGTGTGGGCTGCCTCGGGACACTGGTTTGTCGTGAGGCGTTTTTCTTGTCTGGAGCCCATGTCGCGAGACACCAGCCTGGAAGCTTGCCGATCACAGCGGCGACCGAACGCCTGCTCAAAGCTAACGTGCCGCTGGGCGGAAGGCCTTGCTCCCGGTGGGCATGCGCACTTGTGCAGCCTGGACGCGTGAAACCTTCCAAGAAACGCCAAGCACACCGGGTGCAACCCACAAGCCGACCTGCAGTAGGCAAACTCATGTAGTGAACCTTGGCATGAGAGAGAGAGAGTAAGAGAGAGAGGAAAACAAACCAAACAAAAAAGGACAGAGAGAGAGAGAGAGAGCGAGAGCGAGCGTGTGGAAGGTAACGAATTACCCGGCGGCAACGCCCAAAGAGGATCATTCAGCGATATTCGCCTCTCAATGTTGGCAGCGTGTGCAGACGTGCACCATGGGCCATGTCATTGATCTGCAACATTTTGTCGTTCGCGCCCAGTGGCAACATTGGGAGGCAGACGCCACTTAGTGCCCGGGTGCTCGTCCAAACTAACCCTTCACAGGGCCGATGGCGCGGGCGGTTCCACGTTCTGCCTTGCGATTTTGTTTCCAACAGTCGGATGGCTCACATGCAACGCGGAATGCAGGCGAGACGCTTTCCCGTTACATTGACCGTCGGATATCAGTTGATGCGACTCTCGTTATAATTTATTTTCAGGGGGATGGGTAATTCTGCTTGAGTATTGGGTTCCCGCGCGATCCCCTTTCGTCTTTTAGCGTGCCGCCCTGTGGGTCCTGCGGGACGTGGGGGACTTGTGCCCCTGTGGGACATGTGCGACTTGTCGGACCTGCGAGGCCTGCGGGACCTGGGCGACTTGCGGGATCGGTGGGTTGTGCGGGACCTGTGCGTGCGACCTGTGCGACCTGCGAGAGTTGTGGGAGCTGTGGGGCCTGTAGAACCAGTGGGGCCCGTGCAAAACGTCGACCTTGTTAGGACCCGTGGGAGACCTGCGGGCCTCGCGGGACCTGTAGAGCATGTGGGGCCCGTGGGGCCTGCGCGACCTGCGGCACCTGTGGGACCTGCGGGACCTGTGGGACCTGCGAGACCTGTAGGACCTGCGAGACCTGCATGACCTGTTGTGAGACTCGTGCGGCCTGTGAGGCCTGGGGGACCTGTGGGACTGACGAGACAAGTGGGGCCTGTGAGGCGTTGTCCAACGAACCGTGTTAACGATTCGGCGGGGGGCGGGTTCTATTATGTAAATTCATCCACGGGTGCAGTTTAGGTTGCCCGGCAATCCCACTTAACGATCGGGTGGGTGCGGGCTTACTAAATAAATTCACACACGTAATGCACTTCGCGTAAAATGGCGTACTCCGGCGTGCCCACTTCATTATTTGTTGCTTTTCTCTCCCCGCGTTTGGCGAGTGAAAACAGGACGGAAAGCATCCATCGTAAAATGGGAAATGTTTTCAGTAAAACCTGACATCTAGTTTCTTTGTTTTAATCAATCCACATTTCCCGCCATATTTTTGTCACCCACGAAACGCGGAAAACCAGATTTTAAGGTGGGCTCGCCGGAGCACGCCACTTTACGCGAAGTGCGTCCCGTTTTGATTTTACACACTAAACCTGCCACCGCCCGATCGTAAAATGAGGTCCATAGGCAACGGGAAGTGCGTCCCGTATATGAATTGACACTGTGAGCCTGAACGCGCCCGCGTCCAATCGTTAAGTAATTTCGCCAGACATCGAGAAGTTGCCGCCATGAGCGGATTTGCACAGTGAGCCCGCTCCCGCCCAATAGGGAGTTGCGTCCGACAACGACAGGCGGGCCATGGGCCCCAGGCCCAGGACGCAGCCGTTATTGCCAACAACGGTGGGCGACGACGACGACGACGACCACGGCGACGTCGACGACGACAACGACGACGACGATGACGACCATGACGACGGCGACGACAACGATGACAATGACATGCGTTCTCGCCACGTCGCCAGCCACTTCTTAGCTCTCGCTCCTCCGCAGAAACATCATCAGCATCCTCACTCGCCTGTTCCTTATAATCCTCCTGCTCCTCCCTCCTCCTCGTTTTCCTCCTCCTTCGCATCTTCATGTTCTTTCCCTCGCGTTCCCCTAGCCTCCCAGGGAAACTACGACAGACCACGGCAGCCGTCCGGGTATCACTTGATGCGACGGGCCCCACCTGTTCTGATTCAACATACTTTCGGCTTCCATCCCTGTGCTTCTTTTGTTATCAACTTTTTTCACGGGGATGTACGAGCTCTAGTCCCTGGGGGCAAGAAGGAGGATGGGGCGGAGGCAGGCAAGAGGAGGCAAAGGAACAGAGGGAAGGAAAGAGATGGCAAACACTAGCCTTAGGTCGGGCATGTCCTCCTACAGGCAGATTTTGGACGGAAAATTATGAAGTAAAAACAAACACATGCAAAACATAGCCAAAACACAATCGAAAAGTCGTCCCCAGACTATGTCTTGACTATTTTTGAATGCTCCTCCTGTAGAGGCACACGCCCGACTGAAAACTAGCCCCAAGGAGTAGCTAGAGCCAGGCAGGAGCCCTCGACAGGAGCTCTGACCGCCCTGACGATCGCTCTGGGCTCCAACAGCGGCCTCAAATGGTGGTGCGCAAACACAGCGCCTCGGACCCGCCGAATGCGGCGGTGCGCCGAGGTGCGCCTCGGGGACACGGTGGTCCTGCCACCCCTGTTGCCCCCCCCCCCCCCCTCGGCCCCTTCTGGGCCACATGCACGAATGCACACAGCAACCAGCCGCCGTGATCTTGATCGCCGGCCGCCGCCGCCGTCGCTCGCCGGAGCACCTTCGACGTCGTCGTGGGCGTCGTCGTCATCGTGGTGCTGGCCGTGGTGTTTGTCCTCGTCGTGGACGTCGTCGCACGTCGCCGTCGTGGTCGTCGTTGGTGTCCTTGGGGCGACAAAAGGGTACCGATACTGCTGCCCCCCAAGCCTCTCTCTGGGTGCGCTCTGGCCAGAACTCCGACGCGAATCTGGTCGTGGCGACGGGGGCTCTCCAGGACGAGCACCGACATCCGTATCTTTTCCTCCTCTGAGTCCTGGGGGTGGCCGTGGTGCTCGCCTCAGGTCGGGAATGTCATCCTACAGGCAGATTTTGGACGAAAACTGAAACACAGTCAAACATAACTCCACCAATGAACAACAACAGACGAACAAACAGACCCCAGACACATGTTTGACTGTTTTTTAAAAGATTCCCCTGCAGAGGGACATGCCCGCGCTCGCCGTCGTCGTCGTCGTCGCTGCCGTGGCCGCAGCCGCCGCGCTGGGCGCCTTGGCGCACGCGCTCGCGAGCGAGCGCGGTGCGGCGCGGAGAGCTCCGCCGGGCCCGCAGCAGGCGGCGGCCATGGCCGCGGCCGCGGCGGCCACGAGGGGCGCCGCGGGCCTGCCTTGCGGGGTCGACGCGCCGCCCCCCCTCCACCACCTCCTCCACCACATCCTCCTCCTCCTCCTCCTCCTCTTCCTCCTCCTCCTCCTCCTCCTGCTTCCTCCCTCCCTCCTCACTCCCTCCCCCTCCTCCTCCTCCTCCTCCTCCTCCTCCTCCTCCTCTCCTCCTCCTTCCTCTCCTCCTCCACCTCCTCCTCCTCTCTTCCTCCCTCCTCCTCCTCCTCTCCTCTCCTCCTCCTCCTCCCTCCTCCCTCCTCCCTCCTCCTCCCTCCTCCTCCTCCTCCTCCTCCTCCCTCCTCCTCCACCTCCTCCTCCTCCTCCCACCTCCTCCTCCTCTCCTCCCTCCTCCTCCTTCTCCTCCTCCCTCCTCCTCCTCTCCCTCCTCCCTCCTTCTCCTCCTCCTCCTCTTCCCTTCGGCGCACCGCCGACGAGCCAAACCCCTCAGCCCCCCCCCCCCCCCACCGTGGGAGCCGCGTCGCGTCGGCGGCTCCTAACTTGGCCCCTGTCAGAGCCTTCCTCCCTCGTCGGTCCTCTCCCGCCCCATCCCACCCTCTTGGCCGTGGGGGCAGAGGGCAGGAACAATAGCGCCCTCACAATGAGCACCCCCAGAGTCCAAGCTCACGCGGTTCACGCACCGAGGCAGGACTGCTTTCAGTAAACGCCCAGGGCTGATTAGTAACTCTGCAAGAGAGGACGGAGCTCTGCCCAGCCCCCTCGAGCACGCGACTATTCGAATAGACTGGTCAGCGATCATGCGGCTAACCTGCGGCTCAGATGACGTGCAGGAAGTACCCCAGCGCCGAGTGAGGAGAAGAGGAGGGGGAGGGGGTGAGGGAGGAGCGAGGGGGGAACGGTCACCATCGGATCGATAAATCGGATCGGGTCGGAACGTGCATCCGCATCGGTACGAATTCGGAATCGAGGAGTCGGCTCGGCCGAACTAAGATGCACAACGGCGCCGTGCAAGCATCGGGACACGTCGAATCATCGAATTTGAAACGCTCAGGGCTGCTCAACAAACGCTGGCCACGTGGGTCGGGGTGGTTCCTCCTCCCGCGAGGCTTGGGGGGAGCTCGATCGAGAACACCTGTGCCGACCGCAGGCTCCCGCGACTCGCCCTGCTGCCTGGCGGCCCGCGACGCCGGCGCCGGCGCCGACGACTCGCGCTCTGGGCGGGCCCTGGGGGAAACGGCTGGAAACGTTGGCCCCCTGGGCACATTCCTGAGCGAGAACGCCCCCACCGTACCCGTCCTGGCGTGCAGACCCCGTAGTCTGTGACTTTCTTTTCCCTCATGCCACACCTCATCCACGGAGAAAGGCGACGGCTGCGGAGTCGGTGGCGGCGGCGGTCGGCGGTCAACTCACGACGGCGGGCTTGCAGAGGCCATCTCTTTTTCGGTCTGGGGACGCGCAGGAATTCTAGTGGCGGGTCTTGGACGGGGGCAGATTATGGACGCGCAGATGCCTCGTCAGAAAAAGCAGACGCAGAACGGCGAGAGGGGGCTCACTTCTCCTGGTTCTTGGGGTTCTCGGGCGCCCGCTCCCACAGCTTGAAGCAGCGCTCCTTCAGCTGCGACATCTTGAGGCCTGGATTGTCCTCCTTGATGCCGTCGATATTTATCCTCTCGAACTCTGCGTACGTCATCTTCGCGGGCTTGCTGGCGGCACCCCCGCCGTCGAGGGCTGACAGGGCGGCGTCCACGCCCGAAGCCTCGATCTCGCCCTTGCGGTTCGTGTTCTCCTCGAGCTTCGGCTGCGCGACCGTCTTTGTCTTCGACGCCGCCTTCGGCTTCGCCATCGCCAGCAGTGCCTGCCGGCGCGCGATCTCAGCCTGGGTCACCTTCGCTGCGGGCGCCTTCTTGTTGGCGCCGCTCAGCTTCGATATCTCCTCGTTCTCGGCCGCCTCGAGCGCCGCTTTCTCCGCCTTCGCCGCCAGCTTGGCGTCGGCCTTCTCGTCCTTGGCAGCGGCTCGCGCGGCCTTGGACTTGAGGCCCTTGTCTCCATCCTTAGGTCGGGCATGCCCTCCTACAGGCGGATTTGCGAGGATATGAAAAAATTGTTAAAAAAAAAAATCAAGAAACACTCAAAAATAGTCGAAAAGTCGTCCCAAGACTATTTCTGACTATTTCTGAATCTTCCTCCTGTAGAGGGACACGCCCGACTTGATCCTGAGCGGACGCCAGCCGTCCGCCAGCCCCGGTCCAGCATGAAGCAGGCGGGCGCTCGAGGCCAACGCGCCGTGGACCCCGGGGCCCTTCCCGAGGACCAGCTCCTCGTGCTGCGCCGTCTCTTGGCCGCCCCGGGGCCCGACGAGGGCACCCCTCGGGGATGGACAGACCCCCCTTTAGCAAAACGTGGTTTAGTGAAAACGACCTGAGGCCCAAACCTGGCTGGCGCAAGCCTGTAAAATAACGGCCGCGGCGCCCTCTCGAGAGCCGAAAACGGACAATTCACTAATCGACGTGTCACTGTTGGGGGTTCTGTACGCCCCCGAACCCCAGGGGCCGAACATCCGTCGGGGCCCGCCTGCTCCATGGCGAGAGCAGGGCCGACGGCGCGCGGAGGGGCCGAGGGCGGGAGGCGGCCCGCCGAGACGGCAGGCCAGCTCGGGCGCAGAGGCCCGCCTGCCCGCTGGGCTCCGGGACTGCCCGGCCGGCAGGACGGCGTCGTCAGAGCTGAAGGGGCCCCAGGACACAGAAATAAGTACACACAAATAGAAACATTCCCCATATTTTCCCATATTTTCTGGGTTTTTGTCTTCCCCCCCCCCCACTTCCCATATTTTCCCACACGTTCTGGGGAATCGAGGATTAATTGTGTCTGTGTGTTTCTGGTCCTCCTGAAGAGCCTCTCCCAGGTGGGGTCCGAGCAGACGGGGTCGGCAGATCGCGCCGCATCGCGAGTGCGCCGCGGAGGCGTCGGCGATGCACCGGGGATGCCTCGCCGGCGCCGGCGACGCATGGGCACCGTCGGCGTGGAGAAAGCCGGGCGCCACTTCGAGCCGCATCGGCGATGTCTCGGCGATGCGGCGCGATCCTCCGACCCCATCTGCTCAGAGGGGGCCAGAGAGGAGGAGGAGGAGGAGGAGGAGGAGGAGGAGAAGGAGGAGGATGAGGAGGAGGAAGGAGGAGGAGGAGGAGGAGGAGGAGGAGGAGGAGGAGGAGGAGCTGGGAGGCCCAGAGACTCAGGAGGAGGTCAGCGGAGCAGCGAAGCAGCTCACGGCGCGGGTCTTCCCTGCGCCGCGGAGGCGCCATGTGTGTGTGTGTGTGTGTGTGTGTGTGTGTGTCGAGGGAGGCGCCCAGCGGCGGGGCCGACACCAGCTGCAGGCAAGAGGAGGCACCCTTTTTCTCCCGATGCGGGCAAGCTTACAGGGCGGTTTTTAACACGTGGGATTTTTAAACAGATAGGATGTGTAATAATGATTACTTTAGGAATAGATGTATGCATGAACTCCTCGTTGTTTTTGGTACTAAATCCCTGCATGTTTCATGCATGATCCGCACGCGGAACATGTATTAAAAAACGGCACTGTACTTGCACGGAGGGGGTGGGGGGGGGCGTGGCGAGGTCCGAAAGGGAATCCAGACTTCACGCAAGCTGGGACTCGCTTGCACGCCTTTCCGGCCCAGCATCTGCTGGAAAGGGCGGCGGAGAGGGGGGGGCAATGCGGGGGACGTGTCATGCAAGCAAACCTGCCTGAGTCTGAAGAAGAACGAGCTCCAGATTTCGTTCCCCGTTGTTCCCCGATCCCACCCCCCCTCGCCCCACCCGACCTTTGAGCTCTGACACGGGCCCCGTCCCTTTTTCGGGCGCGCGCCGCCATGGATCAAGCATCGGCGGATCTGGCGCCGTGGGCGCCAGATTCACAGATCGGGGAAGACCCCTCCCCGAAAGATGAGGCAAGCGCCGCCTATTACGTGAGGAAGCGGGACCCGCCACTCATCCACGCGCCTGAATCCATGTTTACGTTTCCTTAACTTCTGCGGAGGCCCCCCCTCGGCGGCGAGTCTGGGGGGGAAGTGGAAGGGGAGGGCCTTCTCAGAAGGCTCGGAAGTCCACACTGACAATTTCTCAGAAGGCGCGAGGGCTTCTGAGAAGTCTCGACGCCTTCTGAGCAGGCCCTCTCCTTCTCACTTCTCCCCGACGCTCGCAGCCGCCCCACCCCTGCCCGGCGGACCGCAGCTCGGCCCGCGGCGGCGTCCTCCCAGGCAGCGTCTTCCGCCGCAGCCGCCGCGGCCGCGCCAGCAGCGGCGCTCTTCGCCGCCTTCTTGTCTTTTGCGCCCGCGTCGCCGAAGCCCATGGCGCGGAAGCAGGCGCTGTGGGGGGTCGCTGGTGGCTCTGGACACTCGACATGGGCAGGGGGGGGGAGAGTGGGCACGATGCCCAGCACCGTGTGGTGCCAAACGCCGGCAGCAGCGGCCGCTGCTGGGCATGCGGTCGTCCGTCTTGAGGGGATAACGTCTGCGGCGACACCGACAGCAAATCCTGTTCAAATTGAGCGAGCAATGCTGTCGGCCTTCGTGCCCTTCCTTTCCATACCCATCTCGGTCGTGCCGAGTGGCTGGGGCAGATGCGGGCGCCCACCTGGCCGGGACGGCCTCGAGCCGGGACGGCTGCCGCGCCAGGACGGCTGCCGCGGCGGCGCGCGAGGACGAGGCTCGGGCATCGGGAGGATCGGGAGGAGAGGGCAAGGAGGGCGGAGGGCGGGGGGGAGGAGACGGAGCGCACGGGACAACGAAGAGTGCGCCCCAATCTCAAAAAGGGGGGTGGAGTAAACGGCATACGAAAATGGTTAAGTGCCAACGCCCGCTCAGGGCTGCATCCTGGGATTCGTCGCCTGGACGGGAGGGGCCGTCCGAGGCACACGACGGGCCCTCGCGCGGGCCCGCTCCAGAGCCCATGCACCCAGGGAAGCACCTTCCTCGCAGGAGAGTCCAGACAGAACCAGACCTCGCTGGAGGTCAGGACTCGGCCCCGCCAAGGAGGGGGCCGAAGCTGCCGCAGCATTCGGCGGCACAGGGTCTGGCCCAGCCTGAGGCTTGCCAGGACCGCTTTGCGGGACCAGCACAAGCAAATGCTCGAGGCCCAGCTTCGGTGCAAGATAGTTCATGCCACCTTCTGACGGCAGAGACACTTGATGCACGCGGATGTGTTTCTTCGCAGGGTGCCGACAGCGCGGAATCTAAGCCAACTGGCGCCCGCGACCACGTGCCGCCGCCAGCAGGCAGTCTGACGCAAGCAAGCTCCGACCTCAGTGCCCCCCACCGATGAACTACAGGTCGCCCCACAGCTGGTGCAGCGCACGACCAGAACCCTGAGGCCTGCCCGCACTCGCCGTCGCTCGGACGTCCATTTCCTGTAAAGTTGCTGGTTTCCTGCGTGCTTTTTTTTTTGCTCGATGGTCCAGGATGGTCCTCGATGGTTCTCGCGGAAGAAAATGCACACGTCCAAGCCCTGCCCGCCCGGTCCGTGACCTGGGCCTCTGGGATGGCGCGGCCGCTGGCTGGCCACGCGCGCCGTGAGGGCCACTCCGCCCGCACTGGGCCAGGTGGTGGCACCTCTTCGCGCCCCTCCCCGCCCACCCGCTCCAACCCACGCAGGAGGAGGAGGAGGAGGAGGAGGAGGAGGAGGAGGAGGAGGAGGAGGAGGTGGAGGAGGAGGAGAGGAGGAGGAGGAGGACGAGGAGGAGGAGGAGGAGGAAGAGATGGAGGAGGACGAGGACGAGGACGAGGAGGAGGCGGAGGAGGAGGAGGAGGAGGAGGAGGAGAAGGAGGAGGCAGAAGAGGAGGAGGGTCGGAGGAGGGAGTCGGGAGAGGGGCCGCCGTGGCCAAAAACGCGCTGGCGCTCCACAGCACGCTCCCTCTCGACCATCGCCGCAGTCTCGGGGAGGAGCTCGAGATGCACGGATTACAGCAGCCGGGCCAGATCGAGATGATCGCTCAGAATGGGGTCTGAGAGCTCCGCCTCCAACCAAGGCCGAGGAAATGCACATCCTGACAGCCAACTCAAGGACGACAAAGGCAAGTGATGTGATTCCGCCCACCTCTTTTTTGTCTTGAACTACTGCTTCTCTCTCTCTGTCCCTAGTGCCCTCTCTCGTTGTCAATATTTCCCCCCCGTCTCTCTCTCTCTCTCTGTATATATATATATATATAAATAATTCTCCCTCTCTTCATATGTACATATAATTATGAATATATGCATGTTCCTATAAGACACGCCCTGCGTAGGAACAATCCCAGATGCCCATCCCCCAAAACAAAAATCCCTGGACTCAATTCGGACGGACGGCCCCCCCCCCGACCCGGGGCACCTTTCCGACGGCCCCCATGGGCCTCCCCGGCTGGCCGCATGCACTCTTCGGGACGCCGCGGAGGCCCCGGAGGCCTCGCCGCGAGGTCCCAGGATGGACACGAGAGCCCGAGGACGGCTCCCACGTGGCCCCCCTAAAGGCCATGACACGACCCAGCTGAGGAGGCAAACTCTATACACCGACGCTTTTTCAGGCCCCGCATTGGCATTCGCACAGGGAAGCGACTGGTGTATACGGGATCCTGGTGTGTACTGTTTGCGCTGCTTCCCCGGGAGGATGGGGAAACAGGTATGCACCACACCACCCCGACGTCGTCCCCGACACGCAAAACATCCTGGGATTGCAAAACGGCCCGCTACTGGTAATGTATACGCTCCAGTTTCCGAAAAAAAGGCCATGACACGACCCAGCAGGCTCCCAAGAAGGTTTCAGAACAGGCCCCCAGAGAGCCGCCCGTGGGGGAACCAAAAGGTACCGATACCTCTACTCCCAGGACCTCTCCCCGGGAGCGTTCGCACTTGGGTTTCAAGGCGAATCCAGCGGTGGCGACGAGGGCCTCCCAGGAGGCCGAACAAGGGGACAACAAGCGAAGGGCAGGGGTAGGGGTACCTTCTCTTGTTTTGAACCAGAAACAATCACCTTTGACATTCATTCGGGTTTGAAAGGATTCCGGGTTTTCCCTCCATTTCGAGCTTCCTGTGGCCCACGATAGACAACAGCACCAACCTCCAGATGGCCGGAAGCCACATCAAAAGCCCAGATAAAAGGGAGCTCCCGACACGGCCCCGAGGGGCCGTACGGCGGCCCAAGAGAGCCCCAGGACGATGCACACGGTCCCAAGACGGCCGCCAAAGCCTCCAGGACGGCCCCGAGACTGCCCAGGAGGGCCACCAGGACGCCCAACAAGTGCCTCCAGACGGCGCCCAGGAACCCCCCACGAAAGCTTAGAAGGGGGCTCCCAAGAATGCCCCAAGGGCCCGTCAAACGGCCCAGCATGGCCCCAGGATGGATGACGCACGCGGTCCCACGACGCCCCAAGGCCTCCAGCAGCCCCCGAAGCACTGCCCTACACGTGCCCTCCGGGGCCCCCGAGGAGCCCGGGGCACAGCTCCCCAGCTGCCCGAGGACGGCCACAGCACGAGCCAGGAGGCTCGCAGTCATGCCTTCGAGGAGCCCCGATGGGAACCGTCCGAGGAGAGCACGGCCGCACCTGGGCCAGACGAGCAGCCTCCAAGAACACGAGACACGCCGTCGGCCACAACAAAGGGAACATCCAGGGGTACCCTCCCCAGGAGGCACAAGAGCATCCAGCACGCACGAAGAACACCAGGGCGCCCTCCCCGAGCCGACCTGGATCTCATATCTCGGTCCGACTGTATCAGGTTTGCAAGGGATTTGGGGGCCGGCCTCCATTTCGAGTCTCCTGTGGCCCCACGACGGCCGAGAGGCTTCCTGGATCGCCCCCAGACAGCAGCAGCCTCCAGGACGTCCCCCGAGCTGCCCAAGGAGGGCCCCGCGGCGCCCAGACGTGCCCCGAGGCGGCGGCCAGGGAGCCCTACCAAAAGCCCCGGATATGGGGGCTCTCGACACGGCCCCGAGAGACCACAAGACTGTCCAATATGGCCCTGGTACGATTCACGCGGCCTCCAAGATGCCCCAGAGGTCTCCGCAAAGTCCGCCCACTACTGCCCAACATGAGGAGTGGGGATTCTCCCCATTTCGGGCTTCCTTGAAGGGGTCCAGGGCCACACAAACGAATACACACAAATCCTAGGATTCCCCACTGTTTCCATATTTTCTGGGTGTTCGTATTCCCCCCTCACTTCCCATATTGTCCCCTACTTTCCTGGAGATCGACGGCGCATTGTGTCTGTGTATTTGGTTCCCTCCTGATTCTTGTGGCCCACGACGAACCCATGGGGCCTCCTATAGGTCGCCCCCGGACGGCAGTCGAAGGTTCCAGGACGGCCCCGGAGACTGCCCAAGAGGGCCTCCAGGACGCCCAGCAAGTGCCTCCAGACGGCGCCCGGGAACCCCACGAAAGCTTAGAAGGGGGCTCCCAAAAATGCCCTAAGGGACCGTTAGACGGCCCAAGATGGCCCTAGGACGATACACGTGGTCCGAGACTGCCCAAGAGGGCCTCCAGGACGCCCAACAAGTGCCTCCAGACGGCGCCCGGGAACCTCCACGAAAGCTTAGTTAGACAGGCAAGCGCGCACCACTACTCGCAAAGTAACTACTCGCAAATGGCCTGCATCCGCCACGGAAGATTTACGATACATCACATCGATGCAAACATGTATTTTTTCGGACGTCTGGGAGTAGGCACGTTGCGAGTAGTGGAACGCGCTCGGTGATGAGAGAGGGTTCCCAAGAATGGCCCAAGGAATGGTAAGACGGCCCAGCATGGCCCTAGGATGATGCACGCGGCCTCCAAAATGCTCCCGAGGTCTCCAACAGTCACCCATTCTCAACATGCGCCCTCAGAGGCCTCCAAGAGACCCTCGAGGGGCTCCCAGAAACCTCAAGTACCTTTCATCAACAATCTTCCGAGCTGCCTCCAACAAGGCAGTACGCGCTCCTGCTGCTGCTTGCCCTCCTCCTCCTCCTCCTCCTCCTCCTCCTCCTCCTCCTCCTCCTCCTCCTCCTCCTCATACTCCCTCTTTCGAATCCGACCTCACTGCGTTGCACTCTCGTCTTCGAGACGGCCCCCAAGACGGCGTCCAGGGAGCCCAGCGAACGCCCAGGGGGGGGGGGGCTTCCAAAACGGCCCCTGGCCAGGCTCATCCTGGGCCCAGGAACGGTGTATACGCTCACCTGGCTTGGTCAGGGAAGGCGATGGCACCCGCGTCGTCGGTGCCCGGTCAGCGGCTAGAAGCGCATCGTCAGAGATGCTGGAGCCTCGGCGGTGGACAAACCTGTCTTTAGTAAACGTCCCTTTAGTGAAAACGGCCCAGGACCGAAACCGACGGACCTGGCCCCGCAAACATAACGGCCGCGACGCCCTCTCGCGAACCACAAACGGCCAGTTCACTGATCGACGCGCCAGGGCAGGGGGCGTCCATCCACCCCTGAGAGCCCATGCTGTGCGGAGTCGGGCAGCCTCCTCGCGAGCAGCGAGCGCAGCCGTGCCCGCACCCTCGCGGCCTGGGCTCCCTGGGCGCGGGCCCGCGCATGCGCAGTGCGCGCGGGTGCGCTCCGCGCCTTGCCGTCGCTCGGACGTCCATTTCCCGTGCATTTTTCGGTACCGCGCGTGTTTTCTTGGCTCGATGGTCCAGGATGGTCCTCGATGGTTCTCGCCGAGAAAAAATGCACACGTCCGAGCGATGCCAAAGCGCGGGGCAGCCGCAACCAGCAAGCGGCCCGCGAGCACCGCAGCTCTGGCCCGCGTGACCGCCTGCCGGCCCGGGGCCCGAGGCGGAATGGTCCCCCGCCTGCCCGAGCCGCGGCGGGGGGCCTTCAGGCGCCACGCCCACGGCGCTGGGAGGCTGCACCGCCGGGTCCCTGCGCGTGCCCGTCGGCAGGGCAGGGCCCGAAGGGCAGTTTTTCGTGTTCGTCTTGTGGTTCGTTCTGCCTCGTTTTGCCTTCGCCTCGCCTTGAGTGCGAAACGCAACGAACAACAACACGGCCCACGAGACAGTCAAACCACCGTTTCGGTCCAGCCCTGCTTCGACTTTCAGGCGCACGAGGATAGGAGGAGGACGATCGGGTGCAGTGATGGGGGAAGTCCCCACCCAACACTGAGCTTGCCGTCGCTCGGACGTCCATTCCCCGTACATGTTTCGATTTCGCGCGTGTATTTCGTCGCAAGGTGACCCGACATGCCCGTCCATGGTCCTCGCCGAGAACACATGCACACGTCCGAGCGATGCCAAGGAATAGGGGGAGGACGATCGGGTGCAGTGATAGGGGAAGTCCACCCGGCCCTGAGGCAAGAAACGAGGAGACTGGGAGAACCCGCAATTCTTCGCGTCGCGCGACGCCCCGCATGCCACGGGCCAGGCACGCGCCCGCGGCGAATCCCGGAGGCGGCCGCGGCGCGAGGACGGAGAGCCGTCGTCATGCACATCCTAAGCAAGGTATAGCCAGAGGAAGGGGAGGGACGACCACGTCAACGACGATGGCAACGTCGCCGTGCACGTCCTGGTGCAAGGCGGCCGGAGGAAGGGGAGGGATGGGCTCCTCAAGGATCGAGGAGGTCGAGACTCGAGGGCATCGAGGGTTTTTTCTCGCTTGTGGCCCTCTCTGGGCCCGGCTGGGGCCGCGGGAGAGGAGGGGGCATGCGACTGGGAGGCAGAGGGGCGGGGAGGGAAACGGACGGCGGAAGCAGGACTCGGAGGCACGGAGGCCGGGGCGAGGAGGCGCGAGGATGAGCAGGAGAGGGAGGCGGCAACAAAAGGCGAGGCGCCCAGACGACCTCGAGCCTGGCCCACAATCACACACTGTTGGGCGATGCAGCCTCGCGCGCGGCAACGGGGCGGAAACAGCCAGTACGAGGAGCAAGGCAAGAGCGCGCGCGACGGGTCCCTGATAAGATGGGGCAGGAATCCATGGGAAGATCGACCGTGTCATCCGCCAACCCGGCATGAACAGCGGGAGGGGGGGGGGAGGATCGGACGAGCAGTATACGCAGAGGTGGGAGGTGAGTGGAAGCGCAGGGCAGCCAGACAGGCAGAGTCGAGGACACAGGTGGGCACGGACAGGGTGGCAGGCGCCCAGCGAAGCACTGGACAGGGAGGCAAGAGCCCGTCTGGCGCAGCAGGCACCGAGGAGACATGTGGGCAGACAGATGGCAAACAGGCAAACATGTAGCAGAAGGCCCACAACCACACACAAACGCCCTCTCCCAGCTCTTGCACAGAGCGGGGGTACCCTCGCGCATGGAGGAGGAGGAGGAGGAGGAGGAGGAGGAGGAGGAGGAGACGACGACGACGAGGAGGAGGACGGAGGAGGACGAGGAGGGGAAGGAGGAGCAGAAGGACGAGGAGGAGGACGAGGAGGGGGAGAAGGAGGAGGAGGAGGAGGAGGAGAGAGGAGGAGGAGAGGAGGAGGAGGAGGAGGAGACGAGGAGGAGGAGGAGGAGGAGGAGGACGAGAGGAGGAGGAGGAGGACGACGAGGAGGAGGAGGAGGAGGAGGAGGGGAGGAGGAGGAGGAGGAGGAGGAGGAGGAGGAGGAGGAGGAGGAGGAGGAGGAAGAGGAGGAGGGGGGGGTCTTGGGGGACACGCCTGTTTCTGTACACGTGGGCTGGCCTGCCCAGGCGGACCTCTCGAGTTCATGTGCTTCCGGCCTGCGTCGTTCCAACCCTGTGGCGCTGGTCTTGTGGATGCCACGACAATGGACACCCCAACAGCCCCATCATGGAATTCTAAACGTGCTTAACATGTAGGAACAATGTTCAAAACATGCTGAAGCATGTTGAGGGCATGTTTAAGACATCTGGAAAGTATTTGGCAACATGCTTCCTCTCCATTGATCGTCCTCCACAACGCTAGTCGGACCCAAGACATAATAATATCCGTCAACAGCACGAGACCCGCCACCTGCCCAAATACACAAAAAATCCCAAGGCGCCCTCCGCAATATGCACAAACACATCCAACACACACGAAGCACATCCGGGTACCCTCCCCGATCCGACCGCGATCTTCTACGTCGGCCCGAAGGCACCTTACAAACCTCCTGGAGCCTGAAAGCTGAGGAAGGCGGGGGAGTAGGCGGAAACGGCACTGAATGCAGGGGGGGACTCGAGGGCAGCATGTGGCGGATTCCAGAAGCCCCGAACCCAAAAATGTTTCCATCTCTTGGGGGGCATCTTTTCCCTGCGCCGCTCTCCGCCGGCCTTGCCGCCAGCGGCGGCGGCCTCGTTCTCCCTCCGCCGCCCCTCCGCCGAGGGAGAGGCGACACCTCCTCCCATCCTCGAGGGCGAGGCCCTCTTTGGCATGCCTCGTGCGGGGTCGAGGGGGGGGGGGAGAAGGACGAGTGGCCCGGCGAAGGCGGCACGGTCCTGCACGAAGGAGGAGGAGGAGGAGGAGGAGGAGGAGGAGGAGGAGGAGGGGGAGGAGGGGGAGGGCAGGACGAGGAGGGGCAGAGCAGCGCAGCGGGGCGGGAGCGGCGGCGCCGGCCCCGCCCTCTCAGTTCGCAAGGATGCCGCGGGCGCCTGGGCCGTCGCCGCACCGCCCTACCGCCGCCGAGGGGAGGCAGGCGGAGCGGAGGGGGGGAGGGAGGGGGGGGAAGGGGAGGGGGGGAGGGAGGGGGGGAGGGAGGAAGGGAGGGGGGAGGGGGGGGGGGGTGAGGAGGGGGGGGAGGGAGGAAGGGGAGGGGGGGGAAGGGGGGAGGGAGGCGGCGGCCGCGGACGATGACACGGGCGTGCAAGCCGTTCTCGAGCAAGCCCCGGGGGCCACCCGGGGGCGGAGACGGGAGGAGAACCCCGGCAAACCAGTTCAGAATGATGCTTCCGGAGGCAGGAGGGACGCGAAGGGCCAAGGCGCCACTCTTCGGTGGTGTCTCGCACGAACTTCGGCTCGATCTGTGGCGATTCGAGCTTGCTCTGCATCTGTGACGACGGAGGGGGAAGGGGAGAGGGGTTGATGAGGGTTGAGGACGGCCCCCACGCACAAGTCTTGCGCCGAAGGCGCGTTGGCGCTGGCAGCACTGCGCACCGTTGTGCTTCCACATGCCGCTGATCATGAACGAGGTCCGAGCTCAGATTGGCACGAAATGCTTACCTGTCCTGTATGGTCGTCCACTCGTGGCGCGGCCACCCACAGCGCCTGATATACCGTTGCGTAGTCGGGACTGTCGTGTCCAGGACGAACGTATGACTGCGGCGGACATCTGCGGCGGGTGATCGGGCGACCTGCCCGTAGTGGAACAGCTGTTCCTGCAATAAACGCCTGTCGAAAGGTTGACAGTCAGCCCTCTGAAGTACTGCTGTTGCGTTCGGGGGAGCACTTGTAGGAGGGCGGGGGGAGGAGCAGGAAGCAGACAGAGGGAGCAGGAGGAAAAAGGAGAGGGAGAAGGAAGAGGACGGATTACGGTGTAGGAGAACATCGTTGGAAACCGAAGGAGGGGGATATGAGCAACAAAAAAGAGGAGGAGGACGAGGAGGAGGCGGAGGAGGAGGAGGAGGAGGAGGAGGAGGAGGAGGAGAGGAGAGGAAGAATCATATCGAATTGGCCGCGTCGTGTACCTTCATTTCGAAACGTCCTGGTCGAAGAAACATGTCAACCCGCACGACCAACACGATACGGCATAACAACGACCCAGTCAGGCAAAGCACACGACACAGCACGGCACCGCTCCAGGAAATCTCGAGATGGACCTATGGATCACATGTTCATGCTTGAGCCGCCGTCAGTTGCGCTGATGTCTGGTGTCGGTTGCGCCATGGGTTGCCCCGAGTGCCACCATAGGTTCTGCAATCAGTTGCGCGCAAATTGCGCCCTACATTGCGCCACAAGTTCCACCGTAGACTGCGCAAGAAATTGCGCCGCAAAATGCGCATGGCACGCCACACCGAATCACGGTTTGTTCCTCTCTGCAAGCGGAGCGCCATAGATTGTGCCTCCCTCTTCGTTCCTCTTTCTCCTCCTGCCTACCCGACTCCTGCTCCCCCCCCACACCCGATGCCCCCTGCTCCTTTTTCTCCTCCTCCCCTATCCCTCTCGCTCTTGCTCCCCATATCTCCCGCCCTCATACCCAATCCACCCACTCCTCCCGCCTTCCCCCTCCCCCAATACACCTCCCTCCTTCTCCCCCCTCTCACCCCCTCCAATGTGCACAACTCCCCTTTCTGCTTGCGCCTTACGCGATGGGGTCTGTTTGGGGGGTTTGAGGCCCGCTGTGACACCCGTCGGCGGAGAACCGTGGGAGCGGCAGGGTCTCATACATGGCGCGAGCGTGGCTCTCTCCTCCTTTCCTTCTTCCCGAGGGGCAGGATCTCAGACATGGCCCCAGCGCGCCTAATGTGGCTCTCTCCTCCTTTCCTTCATCATCTCCTCTCCTCCCTCCTTCCCTCGATTCCCCACCTCCCCTTTCCTCCCTGCCCATCTCCGAACCAAACGTCCGGCGTCTCGAGTTTTGTTCGAAGCACGGGAACCCTGCCTCTCGACCACCTCCCCGTGGACCGGGAGGAGGAGGAGGAGGAGGAGGAGGAGGAGGAGGAGGAGGAGGAGGAGGAGGAGGAGGACAAAGAGGAGGCTTCTCAGAAGCACCCCTGCTTCTCAGAAGGCGCGGGCCTCACACCTGCAGACAGGCCCCGTGCATTCTGAGAAGCCTGCCCCCTTGTGCGCGCCGCCCCTGATGTCCGAGGAATGGGGCTCTTGGACGTCTTCGGCCCTCTCTGGAGACTCCACGGGGAATCTCCTGGCGACCTCTGGGGAGCATATCGGGCGGGGCCTCGGGGTGCTTCTCCGGGGACCTCCAGGGGCCCCTGGGACCTGGGAGCACTTGAGGGGCAGGGGGCAGGAGGAGGAGGAGGAGGAGGAGGAGGAGGAGCAGGAGGAGGGAGGAGGGAGGAGGAGGAGGAGGAGGAGGACGACGAGGAGGAGGAGGAGGAGGAGGAGGAGGAGGAGGAGGAGGAGGAGGAGGATTTTGTTTTGGGGGGGGGCCACCATGGGCCGAACCAGTACAACGGCATCTAAACCGACGCCGCTGGGACTGGGGGCAGCGCAGGCACGACCCTGGACCACACCCGAGGGCATAGTCTCGAGTCGAACCTGGCCTCGTCCCCTTAGTCACTATCATCTGAAAGCCCGACGACGAGAGGAGGGGATCCTCCACCTCCTGCTCCTTCCTCGGGCCCGCGGCGGCGGCGGCGGGTCCGCAGCTGGTCCTGCTGCGACCGCTCGCCGCCGACACGCGGGAACCTGGGCGCGGCGCGCCTGCGGAGGGCCTGCGCGACTCATCCCCCACCCCGCTGCCACCACCGCCCCCGCCCCCGACTCTAGCCCGAACACGGGCACTGACGGCAGCAAGAGACTGGAGCGGACGAGCAGCAGCTGGGATGGAGAGGGGGCGATTGGCGGCAATGTACTCCGCCACCACGGTCGGATTCGCCGCCTCGACCGCAGCACAAGACACCGCCAACGGCTTCTTGGGGTGGAGCCCACGCCTCAGCCTCCTGAGGGCCGTGGTGCCAGCACTGCTACGCTGCTCGTCCGTACGTGGCTTCACACACCGCTTAGCCAACATATGAATTCGATGCTGCGCGAAATATCCACACAGCATACAAAACAAAAGAGGGCTTTCCTGGTCCGCCACCTGGGTACTGGCCAGCTGGTGGCCGTGGTTCGGGGAAGAGGTCAAGAGCTCCTGCACCAGACGCGGAAACCCCGAACATCCGACCTCGGGCCTGGAGTCCTCACTACCACTATAAAAACAGAGACAATTGCTGTACCTGTGGCCCCATAACCAGGGCTCCCAAGCATGCCAGCCGTCAGCTGATCTAAAAAGTTTGACGCACTTGTCTTGCTTCGGAGGCCTCTGGTGCTGGACCCTCGGAAACAGCGGCAAAATCTCCGCAGCGAGTCGTGCCACCGTTTCGAGATCTCTGATCGAGCTACTTACTGCATCCCACTCGGCCTGAGCTGGCTGAGGGTGTAACAAAATTGCTTGCTTAGCTTCTCTGTCCGCCCGCCAATTAGCTTGACCGATCCATCTTTCGGGGGCAGGGAGTGCTTCGATCTCACTGAGATCACGGTGTGCTGGAGTATACACTGCTGGCGCATATCTGTTAGCCTGCATATGCTGTAACGCTCCACGACGTAAGCCCGAATACTTATGCTTAGCATTAAGCTGCATCTGTGGGGAACTGTTGTGCAACCGAACCGCATTCATACAATCACTGTAACACGCAGCACCGTACTGGGGTACGAAGATGGGGAGGAGGCTGAGCGCAAGTTGTTCTGCCGCCTGACTCGTCTGCGGCAGAGATGGCCACGCCGTGCCCTTTGCTGTCGCCACCTGCTGTCCATCAGCCCCCAGGAATACCCAAGCATATGAGGCCCTCGAGAGCTCCTTTATCATGTGTGGGACGCACGAGCCATCGCCTGACACGCTCAGGCCCTCTGGGTTGAAGGCGCTCCAGTCCATGGGGGCGCCCTCAGCGTCGAACAAGGCAGGCTCATGCTCGTCGCTCGGCTGAGGCCACGAGGAAGACGGGTGCCGAAACTTGAGTCCTGCGAAGAACTCCTGAGCACCTTCCTGTGCCTGCTGGAAGAAAAAGTCAGTGGCCTGTACGGCCTCACGGGCATTCTTAATCTCGGTCGACCCCTCACACTTGTACAAACGGTGATGGATGGAGTCTGGTTGGTTGCAAACGGGGCACAAGCCCCGCGACAGGTACCCCGCACGGACAGCGCGATCTTCACACCAAATCCCGTCGCAAAACATGGCTCTCACCATATACTTGCCCTGGGCACTCAACCCCAAACCCTTGCCATTAGCCTTGGTAATTCTACGTATGGGGTCAACGCAAACTCGCGCCCCTTCGCCCCAACCGAGACTGCTCCCCAGGACCCTCTCGTGATGCCTTTGGACACCTTCTTTAAGCAGGGCGTTAAGCATAGCAGGGGAGTTGTAGAAGAGCGACAGCTCATTCCCTCGGTCGTCAGTCCAGATAAAGGGGCCATCGCTTTTCCAACCGATTCTATCCAGGGACAGCCACGCTCTAGATATGGGGCCTTTGGTTTTTCCCCACAAGAGTCCTTCCTTGGGCACCGCCAACCACATGCGCCGAAGGTCGGGCAGCGTGAAGTGCGCGATGCCAGGCTTAGTGGACGTGTGCCAAACGGCGCTGGCCCAAGCTAAGGCAGGGGCAACCACACTACGCCAGACTGGGTCGCCGTGCAGCACCGTCTTGGCCTTGACCGAAACTCCCGCATGAGCGGGCGACTGGAAGGAAAGCATTATCGAACGAATCTTTTTAAGCTCGGCATCCGTGGCTCCAGTGACCGTGTCCCCGAAAGAAACGGCAGGCCGAACCCCCGCCGTGTAGATTTTCCCAATCCGACCCTTGCCCCTTGGGAGGCTCTTTCTGAGACGCTTGAGCTTACGATGCCTTCTAATCATGTCAGCAATCCTGGTCCTACGCTTAACACACACCTTGTTTTTTCCACGCTCGACCCCAGGCGCCAGATCAACCCCCAAAGACACAACATGGGGGCCCACCGTTCCAGCCAGCGTTCCAATCCTGCGTCCAAGCCGTAGCGACAGGGAAGGGGTGGAGGCGAAGGTGAAAAGCTTGTCGGTCGCAAGGCCGACTCCCAAATCGCGTTTGAAGACCTCATGCAGGTCCTCCGCGGCTTTTCCCAAGGCCTCAACAACATGATCTTGGCTGCCGTACGCACTGACCGTGTCATCGTCAATGTACGAGGCCAGTGCCACGTCACGGTTGCGCTCCAGAAACTTATCGAAAGGGGCCATCGCATAGACCTTGACGCAGATGTCATTGAGACAGGACCCCGCTGGCAACCCAGACGTCGCAAAGAGAGGCACCAGACTATGATCCGTGCCAAGCCGCAGGATCCTAGGCCCGCGCCAAAAATTGAAGGTGACCTTCACCATGACAGCTGGCAGCCCCGCAGCCAAGGATCGATCGCGAAGGGTGGCGAGCCCGAACGACCCGTAGTATTTGGAGCCATCCCACGAGAAACCCCCCGCGACTCCACCGTCCCCTTCTTCGGCTTCAGCTCTCACCGCCTGATTCCAGATACTGCCTTCCGCCGACTTCCCCGAACCGAAGGCCCAATACTTCCTGGGATGGTTTTCCTGAAATCCCGAGAGAGTGGAACGCCGAGCTTTCTCCCAGATCCTAACAGGGGCGGCACAAAGCAACGCAGGCCTGAGTCCCCCAATACACCGCTTTCGGGAAGACTCCGATCTTCTCGATAACTTGAAACATGCAGCAGAGGGCCTCCAGGCCTTCGTCACACAGCATACCGTAGTGTCTGACGTGAACACCGTCCAAACTCTGCGCCGTGTGTGGGCTGAAGGTTCTACACGTAGCGCGGATATCATCGGGCCTCAAGCGCTCAAAACATTCGCGGTCCCGAACTTCGAGGGGCTCGGGGCACGGCGTGGCCCCCCAGAAGGAACCTAACACGTTGGCCTCATTCGCGAGCAGCTTTCGCGGGTCAGACGAGTAAACCCCTGGCGCCGTTTCGATGACCGTGGGGGCCCACTTGGGTTTCAAACGAGACAGCTTGTGCATCTTCTTGGCCGAGCCAGAAAGCGCCTCTCTCTGCCATTGGCCCCAGCTCACCTTAGCACGGTTGTCAAGACCCGTTCGGGCCTCATCGAACTCATCCCTCCAATCGTCGAGCGCAATCGTTAGCTTGTTGAGCCAACTGGCGATCTGGGTCCAATCCTGAGGGCGAGACGCTACTAACTGCCTGGCAGCACCGACGGTGGCGTCCAGCCTCACCGACAGACCCTCGCCGTCGAAGGGCTGGTGGAGGCTGGCGCACAGGTTAGAAAGCGCCTGGACGTCCAGGTGGTCACCACAGTCGCGGTTCTCGTGAACCCTCATAGCCGTGCACTGGAGATCTCGAAGCGTCTGCTGGAGCCAAATCCACCCTTCCAAAACCAACCCTTCGCCCTCGGGCCGTCGTCTCGGCTTAGCAAAAACAGAAACCCACTTGGCCGACGGCGGCAGCCCCTTGAGGCCTTTGTTTTTGATCGGGGTGTCGAGCTTACCTTCAAGCTCCAGCTCCATAACATCAGAAAAGCTTTTCCAAGCTAAGTTCAGCAGCTCCCATGCCACACTGACAGACTCATAACTGGCAGCTCGGTTAGCTTCCTCAGCAAAGGCCCGCGGGACCACCCAAGAAGGAGGCAGGGGAGAGGGGCCCACAGGAAGCTCCCGAGGCAGCCTCTGATGAGTCTGGTACACTAACTGTTTGATCCCACTGACACCTGGCTTGAAGTGCAACTGGACAGGCCTGTGTGGTCGGTGCGGCCACGTGGTGACGGCGATGGTCTTGTCAACCAACTTCGCCACCGCCGGCGAGACCGCGAAATAATCAATGAACGAATTAGCCGCTGGTGTCGAGCATGTTTCGACTGGTGGCTTCAAAATGACCATGTTGGCTTTCCTCGGCATCCCCGACAGTTCTAGGATCGATTCGTGAAAGTTCCAATCGCCACCCATAATAGCTAGATGCTGGCCCTCTAAGCACTCCCCCGCCCGCTTCAGGATATCCAAATTGCGTTTGCTGAGGCCTTCCGAATGATACAGGTACGCACACGCAGCCACAAGGGCTTTGGGCCACTGGGGAATATCCAACTCGACAACGATGAGCCTATGGGGAACCAGCACTCCCTTCGGGCACCACGATGGCCACCGAATACCTACCGACGTACGCGCGAAGATCGCCACTCCTGCAGATGTCTGGCCTCCTTCGCATGGTATTGACGGCGTGCAGAGAAGGTGCCAACCTAACGAGAACGCCTTGGCCGTCTTGTCCCCTTGCATCTCATCCGTAAACCCGACCTCTTGAGCGAACAGCACCAAAGCTTCCGACCGAGTGAGACGTTTCTCGAGGGTCCTCCAGCTATTGCCGTTGTAACACTCAAAAACCTGCCCTGGATGGTCATCAGCTTTTAAATGACACGTTGGCGGCGGACAGACGGCCCCGAATTTCGAAATCTTGAAACCCGAACGCAACGGCATGCCACTGGGAGAGGGGGTGGGGCCTGCAGCACCAGGAGCAGCTGAGCGCACGCTCTGCTGCTGCTGGGCGGCCCCCTTGCCAACGACCCCTTCCGCTCTGCAGCTAAGATTTCGAGTTGGATCCAGCGCCAGGTGGGGATAAGGATGCGCCGCAGAGGCGCCACAAACGTTGCCCAGCTGGGTCTCGGGGTCGCTACAAACGGCCCCAGGGACCACAAAAGCTTGGCCAGACCGAGTCTCCGTGGGAGTACACGCCCCTGCCCTCTTAGCCGCAAGGGCCCCGACCGCAAGGTGCGCCAGGTCGGACAGGGGCGGGGAGACATGGCCTATCATGGCCGACTGCACAAAACTACCCTGAGCCTCCGCCTCGGAGACTCTCAGCACAGGTGCCTGCCCGCCAACCGCTTGATCATCGTCGAAGCTGCCGTAGAGCAGGTAGTCGAACAGGCGCCACTGGATGCGCAACGAGTTCTGCCGCTGGACTGTCCAGTCAACTCCGAAGTGCATCACGTACAAATCGAAGGCATCATCGGTCAAAACGGTGGGCACGCGCAGCGGGTCGACTGGTCGAACTGCCCGTGCTGGCCCTGGACCACAGTGTGCACTCCCACTCGCCGCGTCCATACGTGGACCGCCTTTCATGTGCGGGGCGAGCACTGCTTGCTGGAGAGTGGGCCACTGCGCTTCACCAAGTACTGCGCATGGCTGCGACCATCCAGCATCATCATTTCCGCATAACCGATGATCGTCAAAGCTGAACTGTGCGTGGGCGTTTGAGTCGGGCTGCCGACAGCGCTTCCACAATCGCTCGCTTGTCACCCTTGTGCTTCTCCCAGAAAGCCTCGACGTCGGCTGCGTCCTGGAAGCAAGCGTCCAGCTCCTCATCATCATCCATAGGCACAGGTGGAGGAGGAGGAGGAGGAGGAGGAGGAGGAGGAGGAGGAGGAGGGAGGAGGAGTTGGAGGACGAGGTCCATGCGGACCAGACCAGTGAGGCCTACGAGGGGCCCGCTGCGCGCCGCCGGCCCTCCCCGCCGTCGCCGTGGTGGTCGTCGTCGTCGTCGCCGTCGTCGTTTTGGTCGTCGTCGTCGTCGTCGTTTTGGTCGTCGTCGTCGTCGCCGCCGTCGTCGTCGCCGTCGCCGTCGCCGCCGTCGTCGTCGTCGTCGTCGTCGTCGTCGTCGTCGTCGTCGTCGCCGCCGTCGTCGTCGTCGTCGCCGTCGTCGCCGTCGTCGCCGTCGTCGTCGTCGCTCGGCCGCGGGCCTCCCGCGCCGACGCCGGGCGCGGAGGCCAAGCGCCGGCCGCCCGAGGCCGCGGGGGGGCAGCGGCGCGGCCGAGGCCGCGGGGGCGGGCGAGTGGCGCCGTCGATGCCCTCGGAGGCGAGCCGCTGGTTCCGCTCCGC